GCTGGCTCTTGATGCGGTGCTTAGGTCATGCAATAACACCATTCAATTGAGTCATCAGCTGTGCCGAAATGACAGCTTCAGTTCGTGTACTACACGTTGTTCACTCGTTGCCCATGTCTGGTTGCATGTCTGGTTGCATGTCTATGCTTGCATCCAACACCGCACGAAGATGGGAAGCGCAACTGCTGCTGGGTCTTAATGCGGTGCTTAGGTCATGCAATAACACCATTCAATTGAGTCATCAGCTGCGCCGAAATGACAGCTCCAGTTCGTGTCCCGAACGTTGTTCACTCGTTGCCCATGTCTGGTTGCATGTCTGGTTGCATGTCTGTGCTTGCATCCAACACCGCACGAAGATGGGAAGCGCAACAGCTGCTGGGTCTTGATGCGGTGCTTAGGTCATGCAATAACACCATTCAATTGAGTCATCAGCTGTGCCGAAATGACAGCTCCAGTTCGTGTCCCGCACGTTGTTCACTCGTTGCCCATGTCTGGTTGCATGTCTGGCTGCATGTCTGTGCTTGCATCCAACACCGCACGAAGATGGGAAGCGCAACTGCTGCTGGGTCTTGATGCGGTGCTGAGGTCATGCAATAACACCATTCAATTGAGTCATCAGCTGTGCCGAAATGACAGCTCCAGTTCGTGTACCGCACGTTGTTCACTCGTTGCCCATGTCTGGTTGCATGTCTGGTTGCATGTCTGTGCTTGCATCCAACACCGCACGAAGATGAGAAGCGCAACTGTTGCTGGCTCTTGATGCGGTGCTTAGATCATTCGATAACACCATTCAATTGAGTCGGAATCATCGATTGTGCCGAAATGACAGCTCCAGTTCGTTTCGTGTACTACACGTTGTTCACTCGTTGCCCATGTCTGGTTGCATGTCTGGTTGCATGTCTGTGCTTGCATCCAACACCGCACGAAGATGGGAAGCGCAACTGCTGCTGGGTCTTGATGCGGTGCTTAGGTCATGCAATAACACCATTCAAATGAGTCATCAGCTGTGCCGAAATGACAGCTCCAGTTCGTGTACTACACGTTGTTCACTCGTTGTCCATGTCTGGTTGCATGTCTGGTTGCATGTCTGTGCTTGCATCCAACACCGCACGAAGATGGGAAGCGCAACTGCTGCTGGCTCTTGATGCGGTGCTTAGGTCATGCAATAACACCATTCAATTGAGTCATCAGCTGTGCCGAAATGACAGCTCCAGTTCGTGTACTACACGTTGTTCACTCGTTGTCCATGTCTGGTTGCATGTCTGGTTGCATGTCTGTGCTTGCATCCAACACCGCACGAAGATGGGAAGCGCAACTGCTGCTGGGTCTTGATGCGGTGCTTAGGTCATGCAATAACACCTCTCATATGAGTCGGAATCATCAGATGTGCCGAAATGACAGCTCCAGTTCGTGTCCCGCACGTTGTTCACTCGTTGCCCATGTCTGGTTGCATGTCTGTGCTTGCATCCAACACCGCACGAAGATGGGAAGCGCAACTGCTGCTGGGTCTTGATGCGGTGCTTAGGTCATGCAATAACACCTCTCATATGAGTCGGAATCATCAGATGTGCCGAAATGACAGCTCCAGTTCGTGTCCCGCACGTTGTTCACTCGTTGCCCATGTCTGGTTGCATGTCTGTGCTTGCATCCAACACCGCACGAAGATGGGAAGCGCAACTGCTGCTGGGTCTTGATGCGGTGCTTAGGTCATGCAATAACACGATTCAATTGAGTCATCAGCTGTGCCGAAATGACAGCTCCAGTTCGTGTCCCGCACGTTGTTCACTCGTTGCCCATGTCTGGTTGCATGTCTGTGCTTGCATCCAACACCGCACGAAGATGGAAAGCGCAACTGCTGCTGGGTCTTGATGCGGTGCTTAGGTCATGCAATAACACCTCTCACATGAGTCGGAATCCTCAGATGTGCCGAAATGACAGCTCCAGTTCGTGTCCCGCACGTTGTTCACTCGTTGCCCATGTCTGGTTGCATGTCTGTGCTTGCATCCAACACCGCACGAAGATGGGAAGCGCAACTGCTGCTGGGTCTTGATGCGGTGCTTAGGTCATGCAATAACACGATTCAATTGAGTCATCAGCTGTGCCGAAATGACAGCTCCAGTTCGTGTCCCGCACGTTGTTCACTCGCTGCCCATGTCTGGTTGCATGTCTGTGCTTGCATCCAACACCGCACGAAGATGGGAAGCGCAACTGCTGCTGGGTCTTGATGCGGTGCTTAGGTCATGCAATAACACGATTCAATTGAGTCATCAGCTGTGCCGAAATGACAGCTCCAGTTCGTGTCCCGCACGTTGTTCACTCGTTGCCCATGTCTGGTTGCATGTCTGTGCTTGCATCCAACACCGCACGAAGATGGGAAGCGCAACTGCTGCTGGGTCTTGATGCGGTGCTTAGGTCATGCAATAACACCATTCAATTGAGGCATCAGCTGTGCCGTAATGACAGCTCCAATTCGTGTCCCGCACGTTGTTCACTCGTTGCCCATGTCTGGTTGCATGTCTGTGCTTGCATCCAACACCGCACGAAGATGGGAAGCGCAACTGCTGCTGGCTCTTGATGCGGTGCTTAGGTCATGCAATAACACCATTCAATTGAGTCATCAGCTGTGCCGAAATGACAGCTTCAGTTCGTGTACTACACGTTGTTCACTCGTTGCCCATGTCTGGTTGCATGTCTGGTTGCATGTCTATGCTTGCATCCAACACCGCACGAAGATGGGAAGCGCAACTGCTGCTGGGTCTTAATGCGGTGCTTAGGTCATGCAATAACACCATTCAATTGAGTCATCAGCTGCGCCGAAATGACAGCTCCAGTTCGTGTCCCGAACGTTGTTCACTCGTTGCCCATGTCTGGTTGCATGTCTGGTTGCATGTCTGTGCTTGCATCCAACACCGCACGAAGATGGGAAGCGCAACAGCTGCTGGGTCTTGATGCGGTGCTTAGGTCATGCAATAACACCATTCAATTGAGTCATCAGCTGTGCCGAAATGACAGCTCCAGTTCGTGTACTACACGTTGTTCACTCGTTGCCCATGTCTGGTTGCATGTCTGGTTGCATGTCTGTGCTTGCATCCAACACCGCACGAAGATGGGAAGCGCAACTGCTGCTGGGTCTTGATGCGGTGCTGAGGTCATGCAATAACACCATTCAATTGAGTCATCAGCTGTGCCGAAATGACAGCTCCAGTTCGTGTACCGCACGTTGTTCACTCGTTGCCCATGTCTGGTTGCATGTCTGGTTGCATGTCTGTGCTTGCATCCAACACCGCACGAAGATGGGAAGCGCAACTGCTGCTGGGTCTTGATGCGGTGCTTAGGTCATGCAATAACACCATTCAATTGAGTCGGAATCATCAGCTGTGCCGAAATGACAGCTCCAATTCGTGTCCTACACGTTGTTCACTTGTTGCCCATGTCTGGTTGCATGTCTATGCTTGCATCCAACACCGCACGAAGATGGGAAGCGCAACTGCTGCTGGCTCTTGATGCGGTGCTTAGGTCATGCAATAACACCATTCAATTGAGTCATCAGCTGTGCCGAAATGACAGCTCCAATTCGTGTACTACACGTTGTTCACTCGTTGCCCATGTCTGGTTGCATGTCTGTGCTTGCATCCAACACCGCACGAAGATGGGAAGCGCAACTGCTGCTGGCTCTTGATGCGGTGCTTAGGTCATGCAATAACACCATTCCATTGAGTCATCAGCTGTGCCGAAATGACAGCTCCAGTTCGTGTCCCGCACGTTGTTCACTCGTTGCCCATGTCTGGTTGCATGTCTGGTTGCATGTCTATGCTTGTATCCAACACCGCAAGAAGATGGGAAGCGCAACTGCTGCTGGGTCTTGATGCGGTGCTTAGGTCATGCAATAACACCATTCAATTGAGTCATCAGCTGTGCCGAAATGACAGCTCCAGTTCGTGTACTACACGTTGTTCACTTGTTGCCGATGTCTGGTTGCATGTCTGGTTGCTTGTCTGGTTGCATGTCTATGCTTGTATCCAACACCGCACGAAGATGGGAAGCGCAACTGCTGCTGGGTCTTGATGCGGTGCTTAGGTCATGCAATAACACCTCTTAATCAGTCGTAATCATCAGCTGCGCCGAAATGACAGCTCCAGTTCGTGTACTACACGTTGTTCACTCGTTGCCCATGTCTGGTTGCATGTCTGGTTGCATGTCTATGCTTGCATCCAACACCGCAAGAAGATGGGAAGCGCAACTGCTGCTGGGTCTTGATGCGGTGCTTAGGTCATGCAATAACACCATTCAATTGAGTCATCAGCTGCGCCGAAATGACAGCTCCAGTTCGTGTACTACACGTTGTTCACTCGTTGCCCATGTCTGGTTGCATGTCTGGTTGCATGTCTATGCTTGCATCCAACACCGCACGAAGATGGGAAGCGCAACTGCTGCTGGGTCTTGATGCGGTGCTTAGGTCATGCAATAAAACCATTCAATTGAGTCATCAGCTGCGCCGAAATGACAGCTCCAGTTCGTGTACTACACGTTGTTCACTCGTTGCCCATGTCTGGTTGCATGTCTGGTTGCATGTCTGTGCTTGCATCCAACACCGCACGAAGATGGAAAGCGCAACTGCTGCTGGGTCTTGATGCGGTGCTTAGGCCATGCAATAACACCATTCAATTGAGTCATCAGCTGTGCCGAAATGACAGCTCCAGTTCGTGTCCCGCACGTTGTTCACTCGTTGCCCATGTCTGGTTGCATGTCTGGTTGCATGTCTGTGCTTGCATCCAACACCGCACGAAGATGGGAAGCGCAACTGCTGCTGGGTCTTAATGCGGTGCTTAGGTCATGCAATAACACCTCTTAATAAGTCGTAATCATCAGCTGCGCCGTAATGACAGCTCTAATTCGTGTCCTACACGTTGTTCACTCTTTGCCCATGTCTGGTTGCATGTCTATGCTTGCATCCAACACCGCACGAAGATGGAAAGCGCAACTGCTGCTGGGTCTTGATGCGGTGCTTAGGTCATGCAATAACACCTCTTAATCAGTCGTAATCATCAACTGCGCCTTAATGACAGCTCCAATTCGTGTACTACACGTTGTTCACTCGTTGCCCATGTCTGGTTGCATGTCTGGTTGCATGTCTGTGCTTGCATCCAACACCGCACGAAGATGGGAAGCGCAACTGCTGCTAGGTCTTAATGGGGTGCTTAGGTCATGCAATAACACCATTCAATTGAGTCACCAACCGTGCCGAAATGACAGCTTCAGTTCGTGTACTACACGTTGTTCACTCGTTGCCCATGTCTGGTTGCATGTCTGGTTGCATGTCTATGCTTGCATCCAACACCGCACGAAGATGGGAAGCGCAACTGCTGCTGGGTCTTAATGCGGTGCTTAGGTCATGCAATAACACCATTCAATTGAGTCATCAGCTGCGCCGAAATGACAGCTCCAGTTCGTGCCCCGCACGTTGTTCACTCGTTGCCCATGTCTGGTTGCATGTCTGGTTGCATGTCTGTGCTTGCATCCAACACCGCACGAAGATGGGAAGCGCAACTGCTGCTGGCTCTTGATGCGGTGCTTAGGTCATGCAATAACACCATTCAATTGAGTCATCAGCTGTGCCGAAATGACAGCTCCAGTTCGTGTCCCGCACGTTGTTCACTCGTTGCCCATGTCTGGTTGCATGTCTGGTTGCATGTCTATGCTTGCATCCAACACCGCACGAAGATGGGAAGCGCAACTACTGCTGGGTCTTGATGCGGTGCTTAGGTCATGCAATAACACCATTCAATTGAGTCATCAGCTGTGCCGAAATGACAGCTCCAGTTCGTGTACCACACGTTGTTCGCTCGTTGCCCATGTCTGGTTGCATGTCTGTGCTTGCATCCAACACCGCACGAAGATGGGAAGCGCAACTGCTGCTGGGTCTTGATGCGGTGCTTAGGTCATGCAATAACACCATTCAATTGAGTCATCAGCTGTGCCGAAATGACAGCTCCAGTTCGTGTCCCGCACGTTGTTCACTCGTTGCCCATGTCTGGTTGCATGTCTGGTTGCATGTCTGTGCTTGCACCCAACACCGCACGAAGATGGGAAGCGCAACTGCTGCTGGGTCTTAATGCGGTGCTTAGGTCATGCAATAACACCATTCAATTGAGTCATCAGCTGCGCCGAAATGACAGCTCCAGTTCGTGTCCCGCACGTTGTTCACTCGTTGCCCATGTCTGGTTGCATGTCTGGTTGCATGTCTGTGCTTGCATCCAACACCGCACGAAGATGGGAAGCGCAACTGCTGCTGGGTCTGGATGCGGTGCTTAGGTCATGCAATAACACCATTCAATTGAGTCATCAGCTGTGCCGAAATGACAGCTCCAGTTCGTGTACCGCACGTTGTTCACTCTTTGCCCATGTCTGGTTGCATGTCTGTGCTTGCATCCAACACCGCACGAAGATGGGAAGCGCAACTGCTGCTGGGTCTTGATGCGGTGCTTAGGTCATGCAATAACACCATTCAATTGATTCACCAGCTGTGCCGAAATGACAGCTCCAGTTCGTGTCCCGCACGTTGTTCACTCGTTGCCCATGTCTGGTTGCATGTCTGGTTGCATGTCTATGCTTGCATCCAACACCGCACGAAGATGGGAAGCGCAACTGCTGCTGGGTCTTAATGCGGTGCTTAGGTCATGCAATAACACCATTCAATTGAGTCATCAGCTGCGCCGAAATGACAGCTCCAGTTCGTGTACCGCACGTTGTTCACTCGTTGCCCATGTCTGGTTGCATGTCTGGTTGCATGTCTGTGCTTGCATCCAACACCGCACGAAGATGGGAAGCGCAACTGCTGCTAGGTCTTAATGGGGTGCTTAGGTCATGCAATAACATCATTAAATTGAGTCACCAACCGTGCCGAAATGACAGCTCCAGTTCGTGTCCCGCACGTTGTTCACTCGTTGCCCATGTCTGGTTGCATGTCTGGTTGCATGTCTATGCTTGTATCCAACACCGCACGAAGATGGGAAGCGCAACTGCTGCTGGGTCTTGATGCGGTGCTTAGGTCATGCAATAACACCATTCAATTGAGTCACCAGCTGTGCCGAAATGACAGCTCCAGTTCGTGTACTACACGTTGTTCACTCGTTGCCCATGTCTGGTTGCATGTCTGGTTGCATGTCTATGCTTGCATCCAACACCGCACGAAGATGGGAAGCGCAACTGCTGCTGGGTCTTGATGCGGTGCTTAGGTCATGCAATAACACCATTCAATTGAGTCATCAGCTGTGCCGAAATGACAGCTTCAGTTCGTGTACTACACGTTGTTCACTCGTTGCCCATGTCTGGTTGCATGTCGGGTTGCATGTCTGTGCTTGTATTCAACACCGCACGAAGATGGGAAGCGCAACTGCTGCTGGGTCTTGATGCGGTGCTTAGGTCATGCAATAACACCATTCAATTGATTCACCAGCTGTGCCGAAATGACAGCTCCAGTTCGTGCCCCGCACGTTGTTCACTCGTTGCCCATGTCTGGTTGCATGTCTGGTTGCATGTCTGTGCTTGCATCCAACACCGCACGAAGATGGGAAGCGCAACTGCTGCTGGCTCTTGATGCGGTGCTTAGGTCATGCAATAACACCATTCAATTGAGTCATCAGCTGTGCCGAAATGACAGCTCCAGTTCGTTTCGTGTACTACACGTTGTTCACTCGTTGCCCATGTCTGGTTGCATGTCTGGTTGCATGTCTGTGCTTGCATCCAACACCGCACGAAGATGGGAAGCGCAACTGCTGCTGGGTCTTGATGCGGTGCTTAGGTCATGCAAAAAACACCTCACAAATGAGTCAGAATCATCAGCTGCACCGAAGTGATAGCTCCAAGTCGTGTACTACACTTTGTTCACTCGTTACTCATGTCTGGTTGCATGTCTGGTTGCATGTCTGTGCTTGCATCCAACACCGCACGAAGATGGGAAGCGCAACTGCTGCTGGGTCTTGATGCGGTGCTTAGGTCATGCAATAACACCTCTCATATGAGTCGGAATCATCAGATGTGCCGAAATGACAGCTCCAGTTCGTGTCCCGCACGTTGTTCACTCGTTGCCCATGTCTGGTTGCATGTCTGGTTGCATGTCTGTGCTTGCATCCAACACCGCACGAAGATGGGAAGCGCAACTGCTGCTAGGTCTTGATGCGGTGCTTAGGTCATGCAATAACATCATTAAATTGAGTCACCAACCGTGCCGAAATGACAGCTCCAGTTCGTGTCCCGCACGTTGTTCACTCGTTGCCCATGTCTGGTTGCATGTCTGGTTGCATGTCTATGCTTGTATCCAACACCGCACGAAGATGGGAAGCGCAACTGCTGCTGGGTCTTGATGCGGTGCTTAGGTCATGCAATAACACCATTCAATTGAGTCACCAGCTGTGCCGAAATGACAGCTCCAGTTCGTGTACTACACGTTGTTCACTCGTTGCCCATGTCTGGTTGCATGTCTGGTTGCATGTCTATGCTTGCATCCAACACCGCACGAAGATGGGAAGCGCAACTGCTGCTGGGTCTTGATGCGGTGCTTAGGTCATGCAATAACACCATTCAATTGAGTCATCAGCTGTGCCGAAATGACAGCTTCAGTTCGTGTACTACACGTTGTTCACTCGTTGCCCATGTCTGGTTGCATGTCTGGTTGCATATCTGTGCTTGTATTCAACACCGCACGAAGATGGGAAGCGCAACTGCTGCTGGGTCTTGATGCGGTGCTTAGGTCATGCAATAACACCATTCAATTGATTCACCAGCTGTGCCGAAATGACAGCTCCAGTTCGTGCCCCGCACGTTGTTCACTCGTTGCCCATGTCTGGTTGCATGTCTGGTTGCATGTCTGTGCTTGCATCCAACACCGCACGAAGATGGGAAGCGCAACTGCTGCTGGGTCTTGATGCGGTGCTTAGGTCATGCAATAACACCATTCAATTGAGTCATCAGCTGTGCCGAAATGACAGCTCCAGTTCGTGTACCTACACGTTGTTCACTCGTTGCCCATGTCTGGTTGCATGTCTGGTTGCATGTCTGTGCTTGCATCCAACACCGCACGAAGATGGGAAGCGCAACTGCTGCTGGGTCTTGATGCGGTGCTTAGGTCATGCAAAAACACCTCACAAATGAGTCAGAATCATCAGCTGCACCGAAGTGATAGCTCCAAGTCGTGTACTACACTTTGTTCACTCGTTACTCATGTCTGGTTGCATGTCTGGTTGCATGTCTGTGCTTGCATCCAACACCGCACGAAGATGGGAAGCGCAACTGCTGCTGGGTCTTGATGCGGTGCTTAGGTCATGCAATAACACCTCTCATATGAGTCGGAATCATCAGATGTGCCGAAATGACAGCTCCAGTTCGTGTCCCGCACGTTGTTCACTCGTTGCCCATGTCTGGTTGCATGTCCGGTTGCATGTCTGTGCTTGCATCCAACACCGCATGAAGATGGGAAGCGCAACTGCTGCTGGATCTTGATTCGGCGCTTAGATCATGCAATAACACCATTCAATTGAGTCGGAATCATCGATTGTGCCGAAATGACAGCTCCAGTTCGTTTCGTGTACTACACGTTGTTCACTCGTTGCCCATGTCTGGTTGCATGTCTGGTTGCATGTCTGTGCTTGCATCCAACACCGCACGAAGATGGGAAGCGCAACTGCTGCTGGGTCTTGATGCGGTGCTTAGGTCATGCAATAACACCATTCAAATGAGTCATCAGCTGTGCCGAAATGACAGCTCCAGTTCGTGTACTACACGTTGTTCACTCGTTGTCCATGTCTGGTTGCATGTCTGGTTGCATGTCTGTGCTTGCATCCAACACCGCACGAAGATGGGAAGCGCAACTGCTGCTGGCTCTTGATGCGGTGCTTAGGTCATGCAATAACACCATTCAATTGAGTCATCAGCTGTGCCGAAATGACAGCTCCAGTTCGTGTACTACACGTTGTTCACTCGTTGTCCATGTCTGGTTGCATGTCTGGTTGCATGTCTGTGCTTGCATCCAACACCGCACGAAGATGGGAAGCGCAACTGCTGCTGGGTCTTGATGCGGTGCTTAGGTCATGCAATAACACCTCTCATATGAGTCGGAATCATCAGATGTGCCGAAATGACAGCTCCAGTTCGTGTCCCGCACGTTGTTCACTCGTTGCCCATGTCTGGTTGCATGTCTGTGCTTGCATCCAACACCGCACGAAGATGGGAAGCGCAACTGCTGCTGGGTCTTGATGCGGTGCTTAGGTCATGCAATAACACCTCTCATATGAGTCGGAATCATCAGATGTGCCGAAATGACAGCTCCAGTTCGTGTCCCGCACGTTGTTCACTCGTTGCCCATGTCTGGTTGCATGTCTGTGCTTGCATCCAACACCGCACGAAGATGGGAAGCGCAACTGCTGCTGGGTCTTGATGCGGTGCTTAGGTCATGCAATAACACGATTCCATTGAGTCATCAGCTGTGCCGAAATGACAGCTCCAGTTCGTGTCCCGCACGTTGTTCACTCGTTGCCCATGTCTGGTTGCATGTCTGGTTGCATGTCTGTGCTTGCATCCAACACCGCACGAAGATGGGAAGCGCAACTGCTGCTGGGTCTTGATGCGGTGCTTAGGTCATGCAATAACACCTCTCACATGAGTCGGAATCCTCAGATGTGCCGAAATGACAGCTCCAGTTCGTGTCCCGCACGTTGTTCACTCGTTGCCCATGTCTGGTTGCATGTCTGTGCTTGCATCCAACACCGCACGAAGATGGGAAGCGCAACTGCTGCTGGGTCTTGATGCGGTGCTTAGGTCATGCAATAACACGATTCAATTGAGTCATCAGCTGTGCCGAAATGACAGCTCCAGTTCGTGTCCCGCACGTTGTTCACTCGTTGCCCATGTCTGGTTGCATGTCTGTGCTTGCATCCAACACCGCACGAAGATGGGAAGCGCAACTGCTGCTGGGTCTTGATGCGGTGCTTAGGTCATGCAATAACACCATTCAATTGATTCACCAGCTGTGCCGTAATGACAGCTCCAATTCGTGTCCCGCACGTTGTTCACTCGTTGCCCATGTCTGGTTGCATGTCTGTGCTTGCATCCAACACCGCACGAAGATGGGAAGCGCAACTGCTGCTGGGTCTTGATGCGGTGCTTAGGTCATGCAATAACACCATTCAATTGAGTCATCAGCTGTGCCGAAATGACAGCTCCAGTTCGTGTCCCGCACGTTGTTCACTCGTTGCCCATGTCTGGTTGCATGTCTGGTTGCATGTCTGTGCTTGCATCCAACACCGCACGAAGATGGGAAGCGCAACTGCTGCTGGGTCTTGATGCGGTGCTTAGGTCATGCAATAACACGATTCAATTGAGTCATCAGCTGTGCCGAAATGACAGCTCCAGTTCGTGTCCCGCACGTTGTTCACTCGTTGCCCATGTCTGGTTGCATGTCTGGTTGCATGTCTGTGCTTGCATCCAACACCGCACGAAGATGGGAAGCGCAACAGCTGCTGGGTCTTGATGCGGTGCTTAGGTCATGCAATAACACCATTCAATTGAGTCATCAGCTGTGCCGAAATGACAGCTCCAGTTCGTGTCCCGCACGTTGTTCACTCGTTGCCCATGTCTGGTTGCATGTCTGGCTGCATGTCTGTGCTTGCATCCAACACCGCACGAAGATGGGAAGCGCAACTGCTGCTGGGTCTTGATGCGGTGCTGAGGTCATGCAATAACACCATTCAATTGAGTCATCAGCTGTGCCGAAATGACAGCTCCAGTTCGTGTACCGCACGTTGTTCACTCGTTGCCAATGTCTGGTTGCATGTCTGGTTGCATGTCTGTGCTTGCATCCAACACCGCACGAAGATGGGAAGCGCAACTGTTGCTGGCTCTTGATGCGGTGCTTAGGTCATTCGATAACACCATTCAATTGAGTCGGAATCATCAGCTGTGCCGAAATGACAGCTCCAGTTCGTGTACTACACGTTGTTCACTCGTTGCCCATGTCTGGTTGCATGTCTGGTTGCATGTCTGTGCTTGCATCCAACACTGCACGAAGATGGGAAGCGCAACTGCTGCTGGGTCTTGATGCGGTGCTTAGTTCATGCAATAACACCATTCAATTAAGTCGGAATCATCAGCTGTGCCGAAATGACAGCTCCAGTTCGTGTATTGCAAGTTGTTCACTCGTTGTCCATGTCTGGTTGCATGTCTGGTTGCATGTCTGTGCTTGCATCCAACACCGCACGAAGATGGGAAGCGCAACTGCTGCTGGGTCTTGATGCGGCGCTTAGATCATGCAATAACACCATTCAATTGAGTCATCAGCTGTGCCGAAATGACAGCTCCAGTTCGTGTCCCGCACGTTGTTCACTCGTTGCCCATGTCTGGTTGCATGTCTGGTTGCATGTCTGTGCTTGCATTCAACACCGCACGAAGATGGGAAGCGCAACTGCTGCTGGGTCTTGATGCGGTGCTTAGGTCATGCCATAAAACCATTCAATTGAGTCATCAGCTGTGCCGAAATGACAGCTCCAGTTCGTGTCCTGCACGTTGTTCACTCGTTGCCCATGTCTGGTTGCATGTCTGTGCTTGCATCCAACACCGCACGAAGATGGGAAGCGCAACTGCTGCTGGGTCTTGATGCGGTGCTTAGGTCATGCAATAACACCTCTCATATGAGTCGGAATCATCAGATGTGCCGAAATGACAGCTCCAGTTCGTGTCCCGCACGTTGTTCACTCGTTGCCCATGTCTGGTTGCATGTCTGGCTGCATGTCTGTGCTTGCATCCAACACCGCACGAAGATGGGAAGCGCAACTGCTGCTGGGTCTTGATGCGGTGCTGAGGTCATGCAATAACACCATTCAATTGAGTCATCAGCTGTGCCGTAATGACAGCTCCAATTCGTGTCCCGCACGTTGTTCACTCGTTGCCCATGTCTGGTTGCATGTCTGTGCTTGCATCCAACACCGCACGAAGATGGGAAGCGCAACTGCTGCTGGGTCTTGATGCGGTGCTTAGGTCATGCAATAACACCATTCAATTGAGTCATCAGCTGTGCCGAAATGACAGCTCCAGTTCGTGTCCCGCACGTTGTTCACTCGTTGCCCATGTCTGGTTGCATGTCTGGTTGCATGTCTGTGCTTGCATCCAACACCGCACGAAGATGGGAAGCGCAACTGCTGCTGGGTCTTGATGCGGTGCTTAGGTCATGCAATAACACCATTCAATTGAGTCACCAGCTGTGCCGAAATGACAGCTCCAGTTCGTGTCCCGCACGTTGTTCACTCGTTGCCCATGTCTGGTTGCATGTCTGGCTGCATGTCTGTGCTTGCATCCAACACCGCACGAAGATGGGAAGCGCAACTGCTGCTGGGTCTTGATGCGGTGCTGAGGTCATGCAATAACACCATTCAATTGAGTCATCAGCTGTGCCGAAATGACAGCTCCAGTTCGTGTACCGCACGTTGTTCACTCGTTGCCCATGTCTGGTTGCATGTCCGGTTGCATGTCTGTGCTTGCATCCAACACCGCACGAAGATGGGAAGCGCAACTGCTGCTGGGTCTTGATGCGGTGCTGAGGTCATGCAATAACACCATTCAATTGAGTCATCAGCTGTGCCGAAATGACAGCTCCAGTTCGTGTACCGCACGTTGTTCACTCGTTGCCCATGTCTGGTTGCATGTCTGGTTGCATGTCTGTGCTTGCATCCAACACCGCACGAAGATGGGAAGCGCAACTGCTGCTGGCTCTTGATGCGGTGCTTAGGTCATGCAATAACACCATTCAATTGAGTCATCAGCATGTGCCGAAATGACAGCTCCAGTTCGTGTACTACACGTTGTTCACTCGTTGCCCATGTCTGGTTGCATGTCTGGTTGCATGTCTGTGCTTGCATCCAACACCGCACGAAGATGGGAAGCGCAACTGCTGCTGGGTCTTGATGCGGTGCTTAGGTCATGCAATAACACCATTCAATTGAGTCATCAGCTGTGCCGAAATGACAGCTCCAGTTCGTGTACCGCACGTTGTTCACTCGTTGCCCATGTCTGGTTGCATGTCTGGTTGCATGTCTGTGCTTGCATCCAACACCGCACGAAGATGGGAAGCGCAACTGCTGCTGGGTCTTGATGCGGTGCTTAGGTCATGCAATAACACCATTCAATTGAGTCATCAGCTGTGCCGAAATGACAGCTCCAGTTCGTGTACCGCACGTTGTTCACTCGTTGCCCATGTCTGGTTGCATGTCCGGTTGCATGTCTGTGCTTGCATCCAACACCGCACGAAGATGGGAAGCGCAACTGCTGCTGGGTCTTGATGCGGTGCTGAGGTCATGCAATAACACCATTCAATTGAGTCATCAGCTGTGCCGAAATGACAGCTCCAGTTCGTGTACCGCACGTTGTTCACTCGTTGCCCATGTCTGGTTGCATGTCTGGTTGCATGTCTGTGCTTGCATCCAACACCGCACGAAGATGGGAAGCGCAACTGCTGCTGGCTCTTGATGCGGTGCTTAGGTCATGCAATAACACCATTCAATTGAGTCATCAGCTGTGCCGAAATGACAGCTCCAGTTCGTGTACTACACGTTGTTCACTCGTTGCCCATGTCTGGTTGCATGTCTGGTTGCATGTCTGTGCTTGCATCCAACACCGCACGAAGATGGGAAGCGCAACTGCTGCTGGGTCTTGATGCGGTGCTTAGGTCATGCAATAACACCATTCAATTGAGTCATCAGCTGTGCCGAAATGACAGCTCCAGTTCGTGTACCGCACGTTGTTCACTCGTTGCCCATGTCTGGTTGCATGTCTGGTTGCATGTCTGTGCTTGCATCCAACACCGCACGAAGATGGGAAGCGCAACTGCTGCTGGGTCTTGATGCGGTGCTTAGGTCATGCAATAACACCTCTCATATGAGTCGGAATCATCAGCTGTGCCGAAATGACAGCTCCAGTTCGTGTACCGCACGTTGTTCACTCGTTGCCCATGTCTGGTTGCATGTCTGGTTGCATGTCTGTGCTTGCATCCAACACCGCACGAAGATGGGAAGCGCAACTGCTGCTGGGTCTTGATGCGGTGCTTAGGTCATGCAATAACACCATTCAATTGAGTCATCAGCTGTGCCGAAATGACAGCTCCAGTTCGTGTCCCGCACGTTGTTCACTCGTTGCCCATGTCTGGTTGCATGTCTGGTTGCATGTCTGTGCTTGCATCCAACACTGCACGAAGATGGGAAGCGCAACTGCTGCTGGCTCTTGATGCGGTGCTTAGGTCATGCAATAACACCATTCAATTGAGTCATCAGCTGTGCCGAAATGACAGCTCCAGTTCGTGTCCCGCACGTTGTTCACTCGTTGCCCATGTCTGGTTGCATGTCTGGTTGCATGTCTGTGCTTGCATCCAACACTGCACGAAGATGGGAAGCGCAACTGCTGCTGGGTCTGGATGCGGTGCTTAGGTCATGCAATAACACCATTCAATTGAGTCATCAGCTGTGCCGAAATGACAGCTCCAGTTCGTGTCCCGCACGTTGTTCACTCGTTGCCCATGTCTGGTTGCATGTCTGGTTGCATGTCTGTGCTTGCATCCAACACCGCACGAAGATGGGAAGCGCAACTGCTGCTGGGTCTTGATGCGGCGCTTAGATCATGCAATAACACCATTCAATTGAGTCATCAGCTGTGCCGAAATGACAGCTCCAGTTCGTGTCCCGCACGTTGTTCACTCGTTGCCCATGTCTGGTTGCATGTCTGGTTGCATGTCTGTGCTTGCATTCAACACCGCACGAAGATGGGAAGCGCAACTGCTGCTGGGTCTTGATGCGGTGCTTAGGTCATGCAATAACACCATTCAATTGAGTCGTAGGCATTAGCTGTGCCGAAATGACAGCTCCAGTTCGTGTCCCGCACGTTGTTCACGCGTTGCCCATGTCTGGTTGCATGTCTGGTTGCATGTCTGTGCTTGCATCCAACACCGCACGAAGATGGGAAGCGCAACTGCTGCTGGGTCTTAATGCGGTGCTTAGGTCATGCAATAACACCATTCAATTGAGTCATCAGCTGTGCCGAAATGACAGCTCCAGTTCGTGTCCCGCACGTTGTTCACTCGTTGCCCATGTCTGGTTGCATGTCTGGTTGCATGTCTGTGCTTGCATCCAACACCGCACGAAGATGGGAAGCGCAACTGCTGCTGGGTCTTGATGCGGTGCTTAGGTCATGCAATAACACCATTCAATTGAGTCATCAGCTGTGCCGTAATGACAGCTCCAATTCGTGTCCCGCACGTTGTTCACTCGTTGCCCATGTCTGGTTGCATGTCTGTGCTTGCATCCAACACCGCACGAGGATGGGAAGCGCAACTGCTGCTGGGTCTTGATGCGGTGCTTAGGTCATGCAATAACACCATTCAATTGAGTCATCAGCTGTGCCGTAATGACAGCTCCAATTCGTGTCCCGCACGTTGTTCACTCGTTGCCCATGTCTGGTTGCATGTCTGTGCTTGCATCCAACACCGCACGAGGATGGGAAGCGCAACTGCTGCTGGGTCTTGATGCGGTGCTTAGGTCATGCAATAACACCATTCAATTGAGTCATCAGCTGTGCCGTAATGACAGCTCCAATTCGTGTCCCGCACGTTGTTCACTCGTTGCCCATGTCTGGTTGCATGTCTGTGCTTGCATCCAACACCGCACGAGGATGGGAAGCGCAACTGCTGCTGGGTCTTGATGCGGTGCTTAGGTCATGCAATAACACCATTCAATTGAGTCATCAGCTGTGCCGAAATGACAGCTCCAGTTCGTGTCCCGCACGTTGTTCACTCGTTGCCCATGTCTGGTTGCATGTCTGGTTGCATGTCTGTGCTTGCGTTCAACACCGCACGAAGATGGGAAGCGCAACTGCTGCTGGCTCTTGATGCGGTGCTTAGGTTATGCTATAACGCCATTCAATTGAGTCGGAATCATCATCTGTGCCGAAATGACAGCTCCAGCTCGTGTCCTACACGTTGTTCACTCGTTGTCCATGTCTGGTTGCATGTCTGGTTGCATGTCTGTGCTTGCATTCAACACCGCACGAAGATGGGAAGCGCAACTGCTGCTGGGTCTTGATGCGGTGCTTAGGTCATGCAATAACACCATTCAATTGAGTCGTAGGCATTAGCTGTGCCGAAATGACAGCTCCAGTTCGTGTCCCGCACGTTGTTCACGCGTTGCCCATGTCTGGTTGCATGTCTGGTTGCATGTCTGTGCTTGCATCCAACACCGCACGAAGATGGGAAGCGCAACTGCTGCTGGGTCTTAATGCGGTGCTTAGGTCATGCAATAACACCATTCAATTGAGTCATCAGCTGTGCCGAAATGACAGCTCCAGTTCGTGTCCCGCACGTTGTTCACTCGTTGCCCATGTCTGGTTGCATGTCTGGCTGCATGTCTGTGCTTGCATCCAACACCGCACGAAGATGGGAAGCGCAACTGCTGCTGGGTCTTGATGCGGTGCTTAGGTCATGCAATAACACCATTCAATTGAGTCATCAGCTGTGCCGTAATGACAGCTCCAATTCGTGTCCCGCACGTTGTTCACTCGTTGCCCATGTCTGGTTGCATGTCTGTGCTTGCATCCAACACCGCACGAGGATGGGAAGCGCAACTGCTGCTGGGTCTTGATGCGGTGCTTAGGTCATGCAATAACACCATTCAATTGAGTCATCAGCTGTGCCGTAATGACAGCTCCAATTCGTGTCCCGCACGTTGTTCACTCGTTGCCCATGTCTGGTTGCATGTCTGTGCTTGCATCCAACACCGCACGAGGATGGGAAGCGCAACTGCTGCTGGGTCTTGATGCGGTGCTTAGGTCATGCAATAACACCATTCAATTGAGTCATCAGCTGTGCCGTAATGACAGCTCCAATTCGTGTCCCGCACGTTGTTCACTCGTTGCCCATGTCTGGTTGCATGTCTGTGCTTGCATCCAACACCGCACGAGGATGGGAAGCGCAACTGCTGCTGGGTCTTGATGCGGTGCTTAGGTCATGCAATAACACCATTCAATTGAGTCATCAGCTGTGCCGAAATGACAGCTCCAGTTCGTGTCCCGCACGTTGTTCACTCGTTGCCCATGTCTGGTTGCATGTCTGGCTGCATGTCTGTGCTTGCATCCAACACCGCACGAAGATGGGAAGCGCAACTGCTGCTGGGTCTTGATGCGGTGCTGAGGTCATGCAATAACACCATTCAATTGAGTCATCAGCTGTGCCGTAATGACAGCTCCAATTCGTGTCCCGCACGTTGTTCACTCGTTGCCCATGTCTGGTTGCATGTCTGTGCTTGCATCCAACACCGCACGAGGATGGGAAGCGCAACTGCTGCTGGGTCTTGATGCGGTGCTTAGGTCATGCAATAACACGATTCAATTGAGTCATCAGCTGTGCCGAAATGACAGCTCCAGTTCGTGTCCCGCACGTTGTTCACTCGTTGCCCATGTCTGGTTGCATGTCTGGTTGCATGTCTGTGCTTGCATCCAACACCGCACGAAGATGGGAAGCGCAACTGCTGCTGGGTCTTGATGCGGTGCTGAGGTCATGCAATAACACCATTCAATTGAGTCATCAGCTGTGCCGAAATGACAGCTCCAGTTCGTGTCCCGCACGTTGTTCACTCGTTGCCCATGTCTGGTTGCATGTCTGGTTGCATGTCTGTGCTTGCATCCAACACCGCACGAAGATGGGAAGCGCAACAGCTGCTGGGTCTTGATGCGGTGCTTAGGTCATGCAATAACACCATTCAATTGAGTCATCAGCTGTGCCGAAATGACAGCTCCAGTTCGTGTCCCGCACGTTGTTCACTCGTTGCCCATGTCTGGTTGCATGTCTGGCTGCATGTCTGTGCTTGCATCCAACACCGCACGAAGATGGGAAGCGCAACTACTGCTGGGTCTTGATGCGGTGCTTAGGTCATGCAATAACACCATTCAATTGAGTCATCAGCTGTGCCGAAATGACAGCTCCAGTTCGTGTCCCGCACGTTGTTCACTCGTTGCCCATGTCTGGTTGCATGTCTGTGCTTGCATCCAACACCGCACGAAGATGGGAAGCGCAACTGCTGCTGGGTCTTGATGCGGTGCTTAGGTCATGCAATAACACCATTCAATTGAGTCATCAGCTGTGCCGAAATGACAGCTCCAGTTCGTGTCCCGCACGTTGTTCACTCGTTGCCCATGTCTGGTTGCATGTCTGGTTGCATGTCTGTGCTTGCATCCAACACCGCACGAAGATGGGAAGCGCAACAGCTGCTGGGTCTTGATGCGGTGCTTAGGTCATGCAATAACACCATTCAATTGAGTCATCAGCTGTGCCGAAATGACAGCTCCAGTTCGTGTCCCGCACGTTGTTCACTCGTTGCCCATGTCTGGTTGCATGTCTGGTTGCATGTCTGTGCTTGCATCCAACACCGCACGAAGATGGGAAGCGCAACAGCTGCTGGGTCTTGATGCGGTGCTTAGGTCATGCAATAACACCATTCAATTGAGTCATCAGCTGTGCCGAAATGACAGCTCCAGTTCGTGTCCCGCACGTTGTTCACTCGTTGCCCATGTCTGGTTGCATGTCTGGTTGCATGTCTGTGCTTGCATCCAACACCGCACGAAGATGGGAAGCGCAACAGCTGCTGGGTCTTGATGCGGTGCTTAGGTCATGCAATAACACCATTCAATTGAGTCATCAGCTGTGCCGAAATGACAGCTCCAGTTCGTGTCCCGCACGTTGTTCACTCGTTGCCCATGTCTGGTTGCATGTCTGGCTGCATGTCTGTGCTTGCATCCAACACCGCACGAAGATGGGAAGCGCAACTACTGCTGGGTCTTGATGCGGTGCTTAGGTCATGCAATAACACCATTCAATTCAGTCATCAGCTGTGCCGAAATGACAGCTCCAGTTCGTGTCCTACACGTTGTTCACTCGTTGCCCATGTCTGGTTGCATGTCTGGTTGCATGTCTGTGCTTGCATCCAACACTGCACGAAGATGGGAAGCGCAACTGCTGCTGGGTCTTGATGCGGTGCTTAGGTCATGCAATAACACCATTCAATTGAGTCATCAGCTGTGCCGAAATGACAGCTCCAGTTCGTGTCCCGCACGTTGTTCACTCGTTGCCCATGTCTGGTTGCATGTCTGGTTGCATGTCTGTGCTTGCATCCAACACCGCACGAAGATGGGAAGCGCAACTGCTGCTGGGTCTTGATGCGGCGCTTAGATCATGCAATAACACCATTCAATTGATTCATCAGCTGTGCCGAAATGACAGCTCCAGTTCGTGTCCCGCACGTTGTTCACTCGTTGCCCATGTCTGGTTGCATGTCTGGTTGCATGTCTGTGCTTGCATTCAACACCGCACGAAGATGGGAAGCGCAACAGCTGCTGGGTCTTGATGCGGTGCTTAGGTCATGCAATAACACCATTCAATTGAGTCATCAGCTGTGCCGAAATGACAGCTCCAGTTCGTGTCCCGCACGTTGTTCACTCGTTGCCCATGTCTGGTTGCATGTCTGGTTGCATGTCTGGTTGCATGTCTGTGCTTGCATCCAACACCGCACGAAGATGGGAAGCGCAACTGCTGCTGGGTCTTGATGCGGTGCTTAGGTCATGCAATAACACGATTCAATTGATTCACCAGCTGTGCCGAAATGACAGCTCCAGTTCGTGTACTACACGTTGTTCACTCGTTGCCCATGTCTGGTTGCATGTCTGGCTGCATGTCTGTGCTTGCATCCAACACCGCACGAAGATGGGAAGCGCAACTGCTGCTGGGTCTTGATGCGGTGCTGAGGTCATGCAATAACACCATTCAATTGAGTCATCAGCTGTGCCGAAATGACAGCTCCAGTTCGTGTACCGCACGTTGTTCACTCGTTGCCCATGTCTGGTTGCATGTCCGGTTGCATGTCTGTGCTTGCATCCAACACCGCACGAAGATGGGAAGCGCAACTGTTGCTGGCTCTTGATGCGGTGCTTAGGTCATGCAATAACACCATTCAATTGAGTCATCAGCTGTGCCGAAATGACAGCTCCAGTTCGTGTACTGCACGTTGTTCACTCGTTGTCCATGTCTGGTTGCATGTCTGTGCTTGCATCCAACACCGCACGAAGATGGGAAGCGCAACTGCTGCTGGGTCTTGATGCGGTGCTTAGGTCATGCAATAACACCTCTCATATGAGTCGGAATCATCAGATGTGCCGAAATGACAGCTCCAGTTCGTGTCCCGCACGTTGTTCACTCGTTGCCCATGTCTGGTTGCATGTCTGTGCTTGCATCCAACACCGCACGAAGATGGGAAGCGCAACTGCTGCTGGGTCTTAATGCGGTGCTTAGGTCATGCAATAACACGATTCAATTGAGTCATCAGCTGTGCCGAAATGACAGCTCCAGTTCGTGTCCCGCACGTTGTTCACTCGTTGCCCATGTCTGGTTGCATGTCTGTGCTTGCATCCAACACCGCACGAAGATGGGAAGCGCAACTGCTGCTGGGTCTTGATGCGGTGCTTAGGTCATGCAATAACACCTCTCATATGAGTCGGAATCATCAGATGTGCCGAAATGACAGCTCCAGTTCGTGTCCCGCACGTTGTTCACTCGTTGCCCATGTCTGGTTGCATGTCTGTGCTTGCATCCAACACCGCACGAAGATGGGAAGCGCAACTGCTGCTGGGTCTTGATGCGGTGCTTAGGTCATGCAATAACACCATTCAATTGAGTCATCAGCTGTGCCGAAATGACAGCTCCAGTTCGTGTCCCGCACGTTGTTCACTCGTTGCCCATGTCTGGTTGCATGTCTGTGCTTGCATCCAACACCGCACGAAGATGGGAAGCGCAACTGCTGCTGGGTCTTGATGCGGTGCTTAGGTCATGCAATAACACCATTCAATTGAGTCATCAGCTGTGCCGAAATGACAGCTCCAGTTCGTGTCCCGCACGTTGTTCACTCGTTGCCCATGTCTGGTTGCATGTCTGGTTGCATGTCTGTGCTTGCATCCAACACCGCACGAAGATGGGAAGCGCAACAGCTGCTGGGTCTTGATGCGGTGCTTAGGTCATGCAATAACACCATTCAATTGAGTCATCAGCTGTGCCGAAATGACAGCTCCAGTTCGTGTCCCGCACGTTGTTCACTCGTTGCCCATGTCTGGTTGCATGTCTGGTTGCATGTCTGTGCTTGCATCCAACACCGCACGAAGATGGGAAGCGCAACTGCTGCTGGGTCTTGATGCGGTGCTGAGGTCATGCAATAACACCATTCAATTGAGTCATCAGCTGTGCCGAAATGACAGCTCCAGTTCGTGTCCCGCACGTTGTTCACTCGTTGCCCATGTCTGGTTGCATGTCCGGTTGCATGTCTGTGCTTGCATCCAACACCGCACGAAGATGGGAAGCGCAACTGCTGCTGGCTCTTAATGCGGTGCTTAGGTCATGCAATAACACGATTCAATTGAGTCATCAGCTGTGCCTAAATGACAGCTCCAGTTCGTGTCCCGCACGTTGTTCACTCGTTGCCCATGTCTGGTTGCATGTCTGGTTGCATGTCTGTGCTTGCATCCAACACCGCACGAAAATGGGAAGCGCAACTGCTGCTGGGTCTTGATGCGGTTCTTAGGTCATGCAATAACACCATTCAATTGAGTCATCAGCTGTGCCGAAATGACAGCTCCAGTTCGTGTCCCGCACGTTGTTCACTCGTTGCCCATGTCTGGTTGCATGTCTGGTTGCATGTCTGTGCTTGCATCCAACACCGCACGAAGATGGGAAGCGTAACAGCTGCTGGGTCTTGATGCGGTGCTTAGGTCATGCAATAACACCATTCAATTGAGTCATCAGCTGTGCCGAAATGACAGCTCCAGTTCGTGTCCCGCACGTTGTTCACTCGTTGCCCATGTCTGGTTGCATGTCTGGTTGCATGTCTGTGCTTGCGTTCAACACCGCACGAAGATGGGAAGCGCAACTGCTGCTGGGTCTTGATGCGGTGCTTAGGTCATGCAATAACACCATTCAATTGAGTCATCAGCTGTGCCGAAATGACAGCTCCAGTTCGTGTCCCGCACGTTGTTCACTCGTTGCCCATGTCTGGTTGCATGTCTGGTTGCATGTCTGTGCTTGCGTTCAACACCGCACGAAGATGGGAAGCGCAACTGCTGCTGGGTCTTGATGCGGCGCTTAGATCATGCAATAACACCATTCAATTGAGTCATCAGCTGTGCCGAAATGACAGCTCCAGTTCGTGTCCCGCACGTTGTTCACTCGTTGCCCATGTCTGGTTGCATGTCTGGTTGCATGTCTGTGCTTGCGTTCAACACCGCACGAAGATGGGAAGCGCAACTGCTGCTGGGTCTTGATGCGGTGCTTAGGTCATGCAATAACACCATTCAATTGAGTCATCAGCTGTGCCGAAATGACAGCTCCAGTTCGTGTCCCGCACGTTGTTCACTCGTTGCCCATGTCTGGTTGCATGTCTGGTTGCATGTCTGTGCTTGCATCCAACACCGCACGAAAATGGGAAGCGCAACTGCTGCTGGGTCTTGATGCGGTTCTTAGGTCATGCAATAACACCATTCAATTGAGTCATCAGCTGTGCCGAAATGACAGCTCCAGTTCGTGTCCCGCACGTTGTTCACTCGTTGCCCATGTCTGGTTGCATGTCTGGTTGCATGTCTGTGCTTGCATCCAACACCGCACGAAGATGGGAAGCGTAACAGCTGCTGGGTCTTGATGCGGTGCTTAGGTCATGCAATAACACCATTCAATTGAGTCATCAGCTGTGCCGAAATGACAGCTCCAGTTCGTGTCCCGCACGTTGTTCACTCGTTGCCCATGTCTGGTTGCATGTCTGGTTGCATGTCTGTGCTTGCGTTCAACACCGCACGAAGATGGGAAGCGCAACTGCTGCTGGGTCTTGATGCGGTGCTTAGGTCATGCAATAACACCATTCAATTGAGTCATCAGCTGTGCCGAAATGACAGCTCCAGTTCGTGTCCCGCACGTTGTTCACTCGTTGCCCATGTCTGGTTGCATGTCTGGTTGCATGTCTGTGCTTGCATCCAACACCGCACGAAGATGGGAAGCGCAACTGCTGCTGGGTCTTGATGCGGTGCTTAGGTCATGCAATAACACCATTCAATTGAGTCATCAGCTGTGCCGAAATGACAGCTCCAGTTCGTGTCCCGCACGTTGTTCACTCGTTGCCCATGTCTGGTTGCATGTCTGGTTGCATGTCTGTGCTTGCGTTCAACACCGCACGAAGATGGGAAGCGCAACTGCTGCTGGGTCTTGATGCGGTGCTTAGGTCATGCAATAACACCATTCAATTGAGTCATCAGCTGTGCCGAAATGACAGCTCCAGTTCGTGTCCCGCACGTTGTTCACTCGTTGCCCATGTCTGGTTGCATGTCTGGTTGCATGTCTGTGCTTGCGTTCAACACCGCACGAAGATGGGAAGCGCAACTGCTGCTGGGTCTTGATGCGGTGCTTAGGTCATGCAATAACACCATTCAATTGAGTCATCAGCTGTGCCGAAATGACAGCTCCAGTTCGTGTCCCGCACGTTGTTCACTCGTTGCCCATGTCTGGTTGCATGTCTGGTTGCATGTCTGTGCTTGCATCCAACACCGCACGAAGATGGGAAGCGCAACTGCTGCTGGGTCTTGATGCGGTGCTTAGGTCATGCAATAACACCATTCAATTGAGTCATCAGCTGTGCCGAAATGACAGCTCCAGTTCGTGTCCCGCACGTTGTTCACTCGTTGCCCATGTCTGGTTGCATGTCTGGTTGCATGTCTGTGCTTGCATCCAACACCGCACGAAGATGGGAAGCGCAACTGCTGCTGGGTCTTGATGCGGTGCTTAGGTCATGCAATAACACCATTCAATTGAGTCATCAGCTGTGCCGAAATGACAGCTCCAGTTCGTGTCCCGCACGTTGTTCACTCGTTGCCCATGTCTGGTTGCATGTCTGGTTGCATGTCTGTGCTTGCATCCAACACCGCACGAAGATGGGAAGCGCAACTGCTGCTGGGTCTTGATGCGGTGCTTAGGTCATGCAATAACACCATTCAATTGAGTCATCAGCTGTGCCGAAATGACAGCTCCAGTTCGTGTCCTGCACGTTGTTCACTCGTTGCCCATGTCTGGTTGCATGTCTGGTTGCATGTCTGTGCTTGCATCCAACACCGCACGAAGATGGGAAGCGCAACTGCTGCTGGGTCTTAATGCGGTGCTTAGGTCATGCAATAACACGATTCAATTGAGTCATCAGCTGTGCCGAAATGACAGCTCCAGTTCGTGTCCCGCACGTTGTTCACTCGTTGCCCATGTCTGGTTGCATGTCTGTGCTTGCATCCAACACCGCACGAAGATGGGAAGCGCAACTGCTGCTGGGTCTTGATGCGGTGCTTAGGTCATGCAATAACACCTCTCATATGAGTCGGAATCATCAGATGTGCCGAAATGACAGCTCCAGTTCGTGTCCCGCACGTTGTTCACTCGTTGCCCATGTCTGGTTGCATGTCTGTGCTTGCATCCAACACCGCACGAAGATGGGAAGCGCAACTGCTGCTGGGTCTTGATGCGGTGCTTAGGTCATGCAATAACACCATTCAATTGAGTCATCAGCTGTGCCGAAATGACAGCTCCAGTTCGTGTCCCGCACGTTGTTCACTCGTTGCCCATGTCTGGTTGCATGTCTGTGCTTGCATCCAACACCGCACGAAGATGGGAAGCGCAACTGCTGCTGGGTCTTGATGCGGTGCTTAGGTCATGCAATAACACCATTCAATTGAGTCATCAGCTGTGCCGAAATGACAGCTCCAGTTCGTGTCCCGCACGTTGTTCACTCGTTGCCCATGTCTGGTTGCATGTCTGGTTGCATGTCTGTGCTTGCATCCAACACCGCACGAAGATGGGAAGCGCAACAGCTGCTGGGTCTTGATGCGGTGCTTAGGTCATGCAATAACACCATTCAATTGAGTCATCAGCTGTGCCGAAATGACAGCTCCAGTTCGTGTCCCGCACGTTGTTCACTCGTTGCCCATGTCTGGTTGCATGTCTGGTTGCATGTCTGTGCTTGCATCCAACACCGCACGAAGATGGGAAGCGCAACTGCTGCTGGGTCTTGATGCGGTGCTGAGGTCATGCAATAACACCATTCAATTGAGTCATCAGCTGTGCCGAAATGACAGCTCCAGTTCGTGTCCCGCACGTTGTTCACTCGTTGCCCATGTCTGGTTGCATGTCTGGTTGCATGTCTGTGCTTGCATCCAACACCGCACGAAGATGGGAAGCGCAACTGCTGCTGGCTCTTAATGCGGTGCTTAGGTCATGCAATAACACGATTCAATTGAGTCATCAGCTGTGCCTAAATGACAGCTCCAGTTCGTGTCCCGCACGTTGTTCACTCGTTGCCCATGTCTGGTTGCATGTCTGGTTGCATGTCTGTGCTTGCATCCAACACCGCACGAAGATGGGAAGCGCAACTGCTGCTGGGTCTTGATGCGGTTCTTAGGTCATGCAATAACACCATTCAATTGAGTCATCAGCTGTGCCGAAATGACAGCTCCAGTTCGTGTCCCGCACGTTGTTCACTCGTTGCCCATGTCTGGTTGCATGTCTGGTTGCATGTCTGTGCTTGCATCCAACACCGCACGAAGATGGGAAGCGTAACAGCTGCTGGGTCTTGATGCGGTGCTTAGGTCATGCAATAACACCATTCAATTGAGTCATCAGCTGTGCCGAAATGACAGCTCCAGTTCGTGTCCCGCACGTTGTTCACTCGTTGCCCATGTCTGGTTGCATGTCTGGTTGCATGTCTGTGCTTGCATCCAACACCGCACGAAGATGGGAAGCGCAACTGTTGCTGGCTCTTGATGCGGTGCTTAGGTCACGCAATAACACCTCTTGATGAGTCGGAACCATCGGCTGTGCCGAAATGACAGCTCCAGTTCGTGTATTGCACGTTGTTCACTCGTTACTCATGTCTGGTTGCATGTCTGGTTGCATGTCTGTGGTTGCATCCAACACCGCACGAAGATGGGAAGCGCAACTGTTGCTGGCTCTTGATGCGGTGCTTAGGTCATGCAATAACACCATTCAATTGAGTCATCAGCTGTGCCGAAATGACAGCTCCAGTTCGTGTCCCGCACGTTGTTCACTCTTTGCCCATGTCTGGTTGCATGTCTGTGCTTGCATCCAACACCGCACGAAGATGGGAAGCGCAACTGCTGCTGGCTCTTGATGCGGTGCTTAGGTCATGCAATAACACCATTCAATTGAGTCATCAGCTGTGCCTAAATGACAGCTCCAGTTCGTGTCCCGCACGTTGTTCACTCGTTGCCCATGTCTGGTTGCATGTCTGGTTGCATGTCTGTGCTTGCATCCAACACCGCACGAAGATGGGAAGCGCAACTGCTGCTGGGTCTTGATGCGGTGCTTAGGTCATGCAATAACACCATTCAATTGAGTCATCAGCTGTGCCAAAATGACAGCTCCAGTTCGTGTCGTACACGTTGTTCACTCGTTGCCCATGTCTGGTTGCATGTCTGGTTGCATGTCTGTGCTTGCATCCAACACCGCACGAAGATGGGAAGCGCAACTGCTGCTGGGTCTTGATGCGGTGCTTAGGTCATGCAATAACACCATTCAATTGAGTCATCAGCTGTGCCGAAATGACAGCTCCAGTTCGTGTCCCGCACGTTGTTCACTCGTTGCCCATGTCTGGTTGCATGTCTGGTTGCATGTCTGTGCTTGCATCCAACACCGCACGAAGATGGGAAGCGCAACTGCTGCTGGGTCTTGATGCGGTGCTTAGGTTATGCAATAACACCATTCAATTGAGTCATCAGCTGTGCCGAAATGACAGCTCCAGTTCGTGTACTACACGTTGTTCACTCGTTGCCCATGTCTGGTTGCATGTCTGGTTGCATGTCTGTGTTTGCATCCAACACCGCACGAAGATGGGAAGCGCAACTGCTGCTGGGTCTTGATGCGGTGCTGAGGTCATGCAATAACACCATTCAATTGAGTCATCAGCTGTGCCGAAATGACAGCTCCAGTTCGTGTCCCGCACGTTGTTCACTCGTTGCCCATGTCTGGTTGCATGTCTGGTTGCATGTCTGTGCTTGCATCCAACACCGCACGAAGATGGGAAGCGCAACAGCTGCTGGGTCTTGATGCGGTGCTTAGGTCATGCAATAACACCATTCAATTGAGTCATCAGCTGTGCCGAAATGACAGCTCCAGTTCGTGTCCCGCACGTTGTTCACTCGTTGCCCATGTCTGGTTGCATGTCTGGTTGCATGTCTGTGCTTGCGTTCAACACCGCACGAAGATGGGAAGCGCAACTGCTGCTGGGTCTTGATGCGGTGCTTAGGTCATGCAATAACACCATTCAATTGAGTCATCAGCTGTGCCGAAATGACAGCTCCAGTTCGTGTCCCGCACGTTGTTCACTCGTTGCCCATTTGTTGCATGTCTGGTTGCATGTCTGTGCTTGCATCCAACACCGCACGAAGATGGGAAGCGCAACTGCTGCTGGGTCTTGATGCGGTGCTTAGGTCATGCAATAACACCATTCAATTGAGTCATCAGCTGTGCCGAAATGACAGCTCCAGTTCGTGTCCCGCACGTTGTTCACTCGTTGCCCATGTCTGGTTGCATGTCTGTGCTTGCATCCAACACCGCACGAAGATGGGAAGCGCAACTGCTGCTGGGTCTTGATGCGGTGCTTAGGTCATGCAATAACACCATTCAATTGAGTCATCAGCTGTGCCGAAATGACAGCTCCAGTTCGTGTCCCGCACGTTGTTCACTCTTTGCCCATGTCTGGTTGCATGTCTGTGCTTGCATCCAACACCGCACGAAGATGGGAAGCGCAACTGCTGCTGGGTCTTGATGCGGTGCTTAGGTCATGCAATAACACCATTCAATTGATTCACCAGCTGTGCCGAAATGACAGCTCCAGTTCGTGTCCCGCACGTTGTTCACTCGTTGCCCATGTCTGGTTGCATGTCTGGTTGCATGTCTGTGCTTGCATCCAACACCGCACGAAGATGGGAAGCGCAACTGCTGCTGGCTCTTGATGCGGTGCTTAGGTCATGCAATAACACCATTCAATTGAGTCATCAGCTGTGCCGAAATGACATCTCCAGTTCGTGTCCCGCACGTTGTTCACTCGTTGCCCATGTCTGGTTGCATGTCTGGTTGCATGTCTGTGCTTGCATCCAACACCGCACGAAGATGGGAAGCGCAACTGCTGCTGGGTCTTGATGCGGTGCTTAGGTCATGCAATAACACCATTCAATTGAGTCACCAGCTGTGCCGAAATGACAGCTCCAGTTCGTGTCCCGCACGTTGTTCACTCGTTGCCCATGTCTGGTTGCATGTCTGGTTGCATGTCTGTGCTTGCATCCAACACCGCACGAAGATGGGAAGCGCAACTGTTGCTGGCTCTTGATGCGGTGCTTAGGTCATGCAATAACACCTCTTGATGAGTCGGAACCATCGGCTGTGCCGAAATGACAGCTCCAGTTCGTGTACTACACGTTGTTCACCCGTTGCCCATGTCTGGTTGCATGTCTGGTTGCATGTCTGTGCTTGCATCCAACACCGCACGAAGATGGGAAGCGCAACTGCTGCTGGCTCTTGATGCGGTGCTTAGGTCACGCAATAACTCCTCTTGATGAGTCGGAATCATCAGCTGCGCCGTAATGACAGCTCCAATTCGTGTCCTACACGTTGTTCACTTGTTGCCCATGTCTGGTTGCATGTCTGTGCTTGCATCCAACACCGCACGAAGATGGGAAGCGCAACTGCTGCTGGGTCTTGATGCGGTGCTTAGGTGATGCAATAACACCTCTTAATCAGTCGTAATCATCAGCTGCGCCGTAATGACAGCTCTAATTCGTGTCCTACACGTTGTTCACTTGTTGCCCATGTCTGGTTGCATGTCTGGTTGCATGTCTGTGCTTGCATCCAACACCGCACGAAGATGGGAAGCGCAACTGCTGCTGGGTCTTGATGCGGTGCTTAGGTCATGCAATAACACCATTCAATTGAGTCGTAGGCATCAGCTGTGCCGAAATGACAGCTCCAGTTCGTGTCCCGCACGTTGTTCACTCGTTGCCCATGTCTGGTTGCATGTCTGGTTGCATGTCTGTGCTTGCATCCAACACCGCACGAAGATGGGAAGCGCAACTGTTGCTGGCTCTTGATGCGGTGCTTAGGTCACGCAATAACACCTCTTGATGAGTCGGAACCATCGGCTGTGCCGAAATGACAGCTCCAGTTCGTGTATTGCACGTTGTTCACTCGTTACTCATGTCTGGTTGCATGTCTGGTTGCATGTCTGTGCTTGCATCCAACACCGCACGAAGATGGGAAGCGCAACTGTTGCTGGGTCTTGATGCGGTGCTTAGTTCATGCAATAACACCATTCAATTAAGTCGGAATCATCAGCTGTGCCGAAATGACAGCTCCAGTTCGTGTATTGCAAGTTGTTCACTCGTTGCCCATGTCTGGTTGCATATCTGGTTGCATGTATGTGCTTGCATCCAACACCGCACGAAGATGGGAAGCGCAACTGTTGCTGGCTCTTGATGCGGTGCTTAGGTCATGCAATAACACCATTCAATCGAGTCGGAATCATCAGCTGTGCCGAAATGACAGCTCCAATTCGTGTACTACACGTTGTTCACTCGTTGCCCATGTCTGGTTGCATGTCTGTGCTTGCATCCAACACCGCACGAAGATGGGAAGCGCAACTGCTGCTGGCTCTTGATGCGGTGCTTAGGTCATGCAATAACACCATTCAATTGAGTCGTAATCATCAGCTGTGCCGAAATGACAGCTCCAATTCGTGTAATACACGTTGTTCACTCGTTGCCCATGTCTGGTTGCATGTCTGGTTGCATGTCTGTGCTTGCATCCAACACCGCACGAAGATGGGAAGCGCAACTGCTGCTGGGTCTTGATGCGGTGCTTAGGTCATGCAATAACACCATTCAATTGAGTCATCAGCTGTGCCGAAATGACAGCTCCAGTTCGTGTCCCGCACGTTGTTCACTCGTTGCCCATGTCTGGTTGCATGTCTGGTTGCATGTCTGTGCTTGCATCCAACACCGCACGAAGATGGGAAGCGCAACTGCTGCTGGCTCTTGATGCGGTGCTTAGGTCATGCAATAACACCATTCAATTGAGTCGGAATCATCAGCTGTGCCGAAATGACAGCTCCAGTTCGTGTCCCGCACGTTGTTCACTCGTTGCCCATGTCTGGTTGCATGTCTGTTTGCATGTCTGTGCTTGCATCCAACACCGCACGAATATGGGAAGCGCAACTGCTGCTGGCTCTTGATGCGGTGCTTAGGTCATGCAATCACACCATTCAATTGAGTCATCAGCTGTGCCGAAATGACAGCTCCAATTCGTGTAATACACGTTGTTCACTCGTTGCCCATGTCTGGTTGCATGTCTGTGCTTGCATCCAACACCGCACGAAGATGGGAAGCGCAACTGCTGCTGGGTCTTGATGCGGTGCTTAGGTCATGCAATAACGATTCAATTGAGTCGGAATCATCAGCTGTGCCGAAATGACAGCTCCAATTCGTGTAATACACGTTGTTCACTCGTTGCCCATGTCTGGTTGCATGTCTGGTTGCATGTCTGTGCTTGCATCCAACACCGCACGAAGATGGGAAGCGCAACTGCTGCTGGGTCTTGATGCGGTGCTTAGGTCATGCAATAACACCATTCAATTGAGTCATCAGCTGTGCCGAAATGACAGCTCCAATTCGTGTAATACACGTTGTTCACTCGTTGCCCATGTCTGGTTGCATGTCTGGTTGCATGTCTGTGCTTGCATCCAACACCGCACGAAGATGGGAAGCGCAACTGCTGCTGGCTCTTGATGCGGTGCTTAGGTCATGCAATAACACCATTCAAATGAGTCGGAATCATCAGCTGTGCCGAAATGACAGCTCCAGTTCGTGTAATACACGTTGTTCACTCGTTGCCCATGTCTGGTTGCATGTCTGGTTGCATGTCTGTGCTTGCATCCAACACCGCACGAAGATGGGAAGCGCAACTGCTGCTGGCTCTTGATGCGGTGCTTAGGTCATGCAATAACACCATTCAATTGAGTCATCAGCTGTGCCGAAATGACAGCTCCAGTTCGTGTCCCGCACGTTGTTCACTCGTTGCCCATGTCTGGTTGCATGTCTGTTTGCATGTCTGTGCTTGCATCCAACACCGCACGAAGATGGGAAGCGCAACTGCTGCTGGCTCTTGATGCGGTGCTTAGGTCATGCAATAACACCATTCAATTGAGTCATCAGCTGTGCCGAAATGACAGCTCCAGTTCGTGTCCCGCACGTTGTTCACTCGTTGCCCATGTCTGGTTGCATGTCTGGTTGCATGTCTGTGCTTGCGTTCAACACCGCACGAAGATGGGAAGCGCAACTGCTGCTGGGTCTTGATGCGGTGCTTAGGTCATGCAATAACGATTCAATTGAGTCATCAGCTGTGCCGAAATGACAGCTCCAGTTCGTGTCCCGCACGTTGTTCACTCGTTGCCCATGTCTGGTTGCATGTCTGGTTGCATGTCTGTGCTTGCATCCAACACCGCACGAAGATGGGAAGCGCAACTGCTGCTGGGTCTTGATGCGGTGCTTAGGTCATGCAATAACACCATTCAATTGAGTCATCAGCTGTGCCAAAATGACAGCTCCAGTTCGTGTCGTACACGTTGTTCACTCGTTGCCCATGTCTGGTTGCATGTCTGTTTGCATGTCTGTGCTTGCATCCAACACCGCACGAAGATGGGAAGCGCAACTGCTGCTGGCTCTTGATGCGGTGCTTAGGTCATGCAATAACACCATTCAATTGAGTCGGAATCATCAGCTGTGCCGAAATGACAGCTCCAGTTCGTGTACTACACGTTGTTCACTCGTTGCCCATGTCTGGTTGCATGTCTGGTTGCATGTCTGTGCTTGCATCCAACACCGCACGAAGATGGGAAGCGCAACTGCTGCTGGGTCTTGATGCGGTGCTTAGGTCATGCAATAACACCATTCAATTGAGTCATCAGCTGTGCCGAAATGACAGCTCCAGTTCGTGTCCCGCACGTTGTTCACTCGTTGCCCATGTCTGGTTGCATGTCTGTTTGCATGTCTGTGCTTGCATCCAACACCGCACGAAGATGGGAAGCGCAACTGCTGCTGGCTCTTGATGCGGTGCTTAGGTCATGCAATAACACCATTCAATTGAGTCATCAGCTGTGCCGAAATGACAGCTCCAGTTCGTGTCCCGCACGTTGTTCACTCGTTGCCCATGTCTGGTTGCATGTCTGGTTGCATGTCTGTGCTTGCATCCAACACCGCACGAAGATGGGAAGCGCAACTGCTGCTGGGTCTTGATGCGGTGCTTAGGTCATGCAATAACACCATTCAATTGAGTCATCAGCTGTGCCGAAATGACAGCTCCAATTCGTGTAATACACGTTGTTCACTCGTTGCCCATGTCTGGTTGCATGTCTGGTTGCATGTCTGTGCTTGCATCCAACACCGCACGAAGATGGGAAGCGCAACTGCTGCTGGGTCTTGATGCGGTGCTTAGGTCATGCAATAACACCATTCAATTGAGTCGGAATCATCAGCTGTGCCGAAATGACAGCTCCAATTCGTGTAATACACGTTGTTCACTCGTTGCCCATGTCTGGTTGCATGTCTGGTTGCATGTCTGTGCTTGCATCCAACACCGCACGAAGATGGGAAGCGCAACTGCTGCTGGGTCTTGATGCGGTGCTTAGGTCATGCAATAACACCATTCAATTGAGTCATCAGCTGTGCCGAAATGACAGCTCCAGTTCGTGTCCCGCACGTTGTTCACTCGTTGCCCATGTCTGGTTGCATGTCTGTTTGCATGTCTGTGCTTGCATCCAACACCGCACGAAGATGGGAAGCGCAACTGCTGCTGGCTCTTGATGCGGTGCTTAGGTCATGCAATAACACCATTCAATTGAGTCATCAGCTGTGCCGAAATGACAGCTCCAGTTCGTGTCCCGCACGTTGTTCACTCGTTGCCCATGTCTGGTTGCATGTCTGGTTGCATGTCTGTGCTTGCGTTCAACACCGCACGAAGATGGGAAGCGCAACTGCTGCTGGGTCTTGATGCGGTGCTTAGGTCATGCAATAACGATTCAATTGAGTCATCAGCTGTGCCGAAATGACAGCTCCAGTTCGTGTCCCGCACGTTGTTCACTCGTTGCCCATGTCTGGTTGCATGTCTGGTTGCATGTCTGTGCTTGCATCCAACACCGCACGAAGATGGGAAGCGCAACTGCTGCTGGCTCTTGATGCGGTGCTTAGGTCATGCAATAACACCATTCAATTGAGTCATCAGCTGTGCCGAAATGACAGCTCCAGTTCGTGTCGTACACGTTGTTCACTCGTTGCCCATGTCTGGTTGCATGTCTGTTTGCATGTCTGTGCTTGCATCCAACACCGCACGAAGATGGGAAGCGCAACTGCTGCTGGATCTACACGTTGTTCACTCGTTGCCCATGTCTGGTTGCATATCTGGTTGCATGTCTGTGCTTGCATCCAACACCGCACGAAGATGGGAAGCGCAACTGCTGCTGGCTCCTGATGCGGGCCTTAGGTCATGCAATAACACCATTTAATTGAGTCATCAGCTGTGCCGAAATGGCAGCTCCAGTTCGTGTCCCGAACGTTGTTCACTCGTTGCCCATGTCTGGTTGCATGTCTGGTTGCATGTCTGTGCTTGCATCCAACACCGCACGAAGATGGGAAGCGCAACTGCTGCTGGGTCCTGATGCGGGCCTTAGGTCATGCAATAACACCATTTAATTGAGTCGGAATCATCAGCTGTGCCGAAATGGCAGCTCCAGTTCGTGTCCCGAACGTTGTTCACTTGTTGCCCATGTCTGGTTGCATGTCTGGTTGCATGTCTGTGCTTGCGTTCAACACCGCACGAAGATGGGAAGCGCAACTGCTGCTGGGTCTTGATGCGGTGCTTAGGTCATGCAATAACACCATTCAATTGAGTCATCAGCTGTGCCGAAATGACAGCTCCAGTTCGTGTCCCGCACGTTGTTCACTCGTTGCCCATGTCTGGTTGCATGTCTGTGCTTGCATCCAACACCGCACGAAGATGGGAAGCGCAACTGCTGCTGGGTCTTGATGCGGTGCTTAGGTCATGCAATAACACCATTCAATTGAGTCGGAAGCATCAGCCGTGCCAAAATGATAGCTTCAGTTCGTTTACTACACGTTGTTCACTCGTTGCCCATGTCTGGTTGCATGTCTGGTTGCATGTCTGTGCTTGCATCCAACACCGCACGAAGATGGGAAGCGCAACTGCTGCTGGCTCTTGATGCGGTGCTTAGGTCATGCAATAACACGATTCAATTGAGTCATCAGCTGTGCCGAAATGACAGCTCCAGTTCGTGTCCCGCACGTTGTTCACTCGTTGCCCATGTCTGGTTGCATTTCTGGTTGCATGTCTGTGCTTGCATCCAACACCGCACGAAGATGGGAAGCGCAACTGCTGCTGGGTCTTGATGCGGTGCTTAGGTCATGCAATAACACCTCTTGATCAGTCGTAATCATCAGCTGCGCCGTAATGACAGCTCCAATTCGTGTCCTACACGTTGTTCACTTGTTGCCCATGTCTGGTTGCATGTCTGGTTGCATGTCTGTGCTTGCATCCAACACCGCACGAAGATGGGAAGCGCAACTGCTGCTGGGTCTTGATGCGGTGCTTAGGTCATGCAATAACACCATTCAATTGAGTCATCAGCTGTGCCGAAATGACAGCTCCAGTTCGTGTCCCGCACGTTGTTCACTTGTTGCCCGTGTCTGGTTGCATGTCTGGTTGCATGTCTGTGCTTGCATCCAACACCGCACGAAGATGGGAAGCGCAACTGCTGCTGGGTCTTGATGCGGTGCTTAGGTCATGCAATAACACCTCTTGATGAGTCGTAGGCATCAGCTGTGCCGTAATGACAGCTCCAATTCGTGTCCTACACGTTGTTCACTTGTTGCCCATGTCTGGTTGCATGTCTGGTTGCATGTCTGTGCTTGCATCCAACACCGCACGAAGATGGGAAGCGCAACTGTTGCTGGGTCTTGATGCGGTGCTTGGGTCATGCAATAACACCATTCAATTGAGTCATCAGCTGTGCCGAAATGACAGCTCCAGTTCGTGTACTACACGTTGTTCACTCGTTGCCCATGTCTGGTTGCATGTCTGGTTGCATGTCTGTGCTTGCATCCAACACCGCACGAAGATGGGAAGCGCAACTGCTGCTGGGTCTTGATGCGGTGCTTAGGTCATGCAATAACACCTCTTAATCAGTCGTAATCATCAGCTGCGCCGTAATGACAGCTCCAGTTCGTGTCCTACACGTTGTTCACTCGTTGCCCATGTCTGGTTGCATGTCTGGTTGCATGTCTGTGCTTGCATCCAACACCGCACGAAGATGGGAAGCGCAACTGCTGCTGGGTCTTGATGCGGTGCTTAGGTCATGCAATAACACCTCTTAATCAGTCGTAATCATCAGCTGCGCCGTAATGACAGCTCCAATTCGTGTCCTACACGTTGTTCACTTGTTGCCCATGTCTGGTTGCATGTCTGGTTGCATGTCTGTGCTTGCATCCAACACCGCACGAAGATGGGAAGCGCAACTGCTGCTGGGTCTTGATGCGGTGCTTAGGTCATGCAATAACACCTCTTAATCAGTCGTAATCATCAGCTGCGCCGTAATGACAGCTCCAATTCGTGTCCTACACGTTGTTCACTTGTTGCCCATGTCTGGTTGCATGTCTGGTTGCATGTCTGTGCTTGCATCCAACACCGCACGAAGATGGGAAGCGCAACTGCTGCTGGGTCTTGATGCGGTGCTTAGGTCATGCAATAACACCATTCAATTGAGTCATCAGCTGTGCCGAAATGACAGCTCCAGTTCGTGTCCCGCACGTTGTTCACTCGTTGCCCATGTCTGGTTGCATGTCTGTGCTTGCATCCAACACCGCACGAAGATGGGAAGCGCAACTGCTGCTGGGTCTTGATGCGGTGCTTAGGTCATGCAATAACACCTCTTAATCAGTCGTAATCATCAGCTGCGCCGTAATGACAGCTCCAATTCGTGTCCTACACGTTGTTCACTTGTTGCCCATGTCTGGTTGCATGTCTGGTTGCATGTCTGTGCTTGCATCCAACACCGCACGAAGATGGGAAGCGCAACTGCTGCTGGGTCTTGATGCGGTGCTTAGGTCATGCAATAACACCATTCAATTGAGTCGTAGCATCAGCTGTGCCGTAAATGACAGCTCCAGTTCGTGTCCTACACGTTGTTCACTTGTTGCCCATGTCTGGTTGCATGTCTGGTTGCATGTCTGTGCTTGCATCCAACACCGCACGAAGATGGGAAGCGCAACTGCTGCTGGGTCTTGATGCGGTGCTTAGGTCATGCAATAACACCATTCAATTGAGTCATCAGCTGTGCCGAAATGACAGCTCCAGTTCGTGTCCCGCACGTTGTTCACTCGTTGCCCATGTCTGGTTGCATGTCTGGTTGCATGTCTGTGCTTGCATCCAACACCGCACGAAGATGGGAAGCGCAACTGCTGCTGGGTCTTGATGCGGTGCTTAGGTCATGCAATAACACCATTCAATTGAGTCGGAAGCATCAGCTGTGCCGAAATGACAGCTCCAGTTCGTGTACTACACGTTGTTCACTCGTTGCCCATGTCTGGTTGCATGTCTGGTTGCATGTCTGTGCTTGCATCCAACACCGCACGAAGATGGGAAGCGCAACTGCTGCTGGGTCTTGATGCGGTGCTTAGGTCATGCAATAACACCATTCAATTGAGTCGGAATCATCAGCTGTGCCGAAATGACAGCTCCAGTTCGTGTACTACACGTTGTTCACTCGTTGCCCATGTCTGGTTGCATGTCTGGTTGCATGTCTGTGCTTGCATCCAACACCGCACGAAGATGGGAAGCGCAACTGCTGCTGGGTCTTGATGCGGTGCTTAGGTCATGCAATAACACCATTCAATTGAGTCATCAGCTGTGCCGAAATGACAGCTCCAGTTCGTGTCCCGCACGTTGTTCACTCGTTGCCCATGTCTGGTTGCATGTCTGGTTGCATGTCTGTGCTTGCATCCAACACCGCACGAAGATGGGAAGCGCAACTGCTGCTGGGTCTTGATGCGGTGCTTAGGTCATGCAATAACACCATTCAATTGAGTCATCAGCTGTGCCGAAATGACAGCTCCAGTTCGTGTCCCGCACGTTGTTCACCCGTTGCCCATGTCTGGTTGCATGTCTGGTTGCATGTCTGTCCTTGCACCGCACGAAGATGGGAAGCGCAACTGCTGCTGGGTCTTGATGCGGTGCTTAGGTCATGCAATAACACCATTTAATCAGTCGTAATCATCAGCTGCGCCGTAATGACAGCTCCAATTCGTGTCCTACACGTTGTTCACTTGTTGCCCATGTCTGGTTGCATGTCTGGTTGCATGTCTGTGCTTGCATCCAACACCGCACGAAGATGGGAAGCGCAACTGCTGCTGGGTCTTGATGCGGTGCTTAGGTCATGCAATAACGCCATTCAATTGAGTCGGAATCATCATCTGTGCCGAAATGACAGCTCCAGTTCATGTACTACACGTTGTTCACTCGTTGCCCATGTCTGGTTGCATGTCTGGTTGCATGTCTGTGCTTGCATCCAACACCGCACGAAGATGGGAAGCGCAACTGCTGCTGGGTCTTGATGCGGTGCTTAGGTCATGCAATAACACCATTCAATTGAGTCATCAGCTGTGCCGAAATGACAGCTCCAGTTCGTGTCCCGCACGTTGTTCACCCGTTGCCCATGTCTGGTTGCATGTCTGGTTGCATGTCTGTGCTTGCATCCAACACCGCACGAAGATGGGAAGCGCAACTGCTGCTGGGTCTTGATGCGGTGCTTAGGTCATGCAATAACACCATTCAATTGAGTCATCAGCTGTGCCGAAATGACAGCTCCAGTTCGTGTCCCGCACGTTGTTCACTCGTTGCCCATGTCTGGTTGCATGTCTGGTTGCATGTCTGTGCTTGCATCCAACACCGCACGAAGATGGGAAGCGCAACTGCTGCTGGGTCTTGATGCGGTGCTTAGGTCATGCAATAACACCATTTAATCAGTCGTAATCATCAGCTGCGCCGTAATGACAGCTCCAGTTCGTGTCCTACACGTTGTTCACTTGTTGCCCATGTCTGGTTGCATGTCTGGTTGCATGTCTGTGCTTGCATCCAACACCGCACGAAGATGGGAAGCGCAACTGCTGCTGGGTCTTGATGCGGTGCTTAGGTCATGCAATAACACCATTCAATTGAGTCGGAATCATCATCTGTGCCGAAATGACAGCTCCAGTTCGTGTACTACACGTTGTTCACTCGTTGCCCATGTCTGGTTGCATGTCTGGTTGCATGTCTGTGCTTGCATCCAACACCGCACGAAGATGGGAAGCGCAACTGCTGCTGGGTCTTGATGCGGTGCTTAGGTCATGCAATAACACCATTCAATTGAGTCATCAGCTGTGCCGAAATGACAGCTCCAGTTCGTGTCCCGCACGTTGTTCACTCGTTGCCCATGTCTGGTTGCATGTCTGGTTGCATGTCTGTGCTTGCATCCAACACCGCACGAAGATGGGAAGCGCAACTGCTGCTGGGTCTTGATGCGGTGCTTAGGTCATGCAATAACACCATTCAATTGAGTCATCAGCTGTGCCGAAATGACAGCTCCAGTTCGTGTCCCGCACGTTGTTCACTCGTTGCCCATGTCTGGTTGCATGTCTGGTTGCATGTCTGTGCTTGCATCCAACACCGCACGAAGATGGGAAGCGCAACTGCTGCTGGGTCTTGATGCGGTGCTTAGGTCATGCAATAACACCATTCAATCAGTCGTAATCATCAGCTGCGCCGAAATGACAGCTCCAGTTCGTGTCCTACACGTTGTTCACTTGTTGCCCATGTCTGGTTGCATGTCTGGTTGCATGTCTGTGCTTGCATCCAACACCGCACGAAGATGGGAAGCGCAACTGCTGCTGGGTCTTGATGCGGTGCTTAGGTCATGCAATAACACCATTCAATTGAGTGAGGCATCAGCTGTGCCGAAATGACAGCTCCAGTTCGTGTCCTACACGTTGTTCACTTGTTGCCCATGTCTGGTTGCATGTCTGGTTGCATGTCTGTGCTTGCATCCAACACCGCACGAAGATGGGAAGCGCAACTGCTGCTGGGTCTTGATGCGGTGCTTAGGTCATGCAATAACACCATTCAATTGAGTCATCAGCTGTGCCGAAATGACAGCTCCAGTTCGTGTACTACACGTTGTTCACTCGTTGCCCATGTCTGGTTGCATGTCTGGTTGCATGTCTGTGCTTGCATCCAACACCGCACGAAGATGGGAAGCGCAACTGCTGCTGGGTCTTGATGCGGTGCTTAGGTTATGCAATAACACCATTCAATTGAGTCGGAATCATCAGCTGTGCCGAAATGACAGCTCCAGTTCGTGTCCTACACGTTGTTCACTCGTTGCCCATGTCTGGTTGCATGTCTGGTTGCATGTCTGTGCTTGCGTTCAACACCGCACGAAGATGGGAAGCGCAACTGCTGCTGGCTCTTGATGCGGTGCTTAGGTTATGCTATAACGCCATTCAATTGAGTCGGAATCATCATCTGTGCCGAAATGACAGCTCCAGTTCGTGTCCCGCACGTTGTTCACTCGTTGCCCATGTCTGGTTGCATGTCTGGTTACATGTCTGTGCTTGCATCCAACACCGCACGAAGATGGGAAGCGCAACTGCTGCTGGGTCTTGATGCGGTGCTTAGGTCATGCAATAACACCATTCAATTGAGTCATCAGCTGTGCCGAAATGACAGCTCCAGTTCGTGTCGTACACGTTGTTCACTCGTTGCCCATGTCTGGTTGCATGTCTGTGCTTGCATCCAACACCGCACGAAGATGGGAAGCGCAACTTCTGCTGGGTCTTGATGCGGTGCTTAGGTCATGCAATAACACCATTCAATTGAGTCGGAATCATTATCCGTGCCAAATGACAGCTCCAGTTCGTGCACTACACGTTGTTCACTCGTTGCCCATGTCTGGTTGCATGTCTATGCTTGCAGCCAACACCGCACGAAGATGGGAAGCGCAACTGCTGCTGGGTCTTGATGCGGTGCTTAGGTCATGCAATAACACGATTCAATTGAGTCATCATCTGTGCCGAAATGACAGCTCCAGTTCGTGTCCCGCACGTTGTTCACTCGTTGCCCATGTCTGGTTGCATGTCTGGTTGCATGTCTGTGCTTGCATCCAACACCGCACGAAGATGGGAAGCGCAACTGCTGCTGGGTCTTGATGCGGTGCTTAGGTCATGCAATAACACCATTCAATTGAGTCATCAGCTGTGCCGAAATGACAGCTCCAGTTCGTGTCCCGCACGTTGTTCACTCGTTGCCCATGTCTGGTTGCATGTCTGGTTGCATGTCTGTGCTTGCATCCAACACCGCACGAAGATGGGAAGCGCAACTGCTGCTGGGTCTTGATGTGGTGCTTAGGTCATGCAATCACACCATTCAATTGAGTCACTAGCTGTGCCGAAATGACAGCTCCAGTTCGTGTCGGACACGTTGTTCACTCGTTGCCCATGTCTGGTTGCATGTCTGGTTGCATGTCTGTGCTTGCATCCAACACCGCACGAAGATGGGAAGCGCAACTGCTGCTGGGTCTTGATGCGGTGCTTAGGTCATGCAATAACACCATTCAATTGAGTCATCAGCTGTGCCGAAATGACAGCTCCAGTTCGTGTCCCGCACGTTGTTCACTCGTTGCCCATGTCTGGTTGCATGTCTGGTTGCATGTCTGGTTGCATGTCTGTGCTTGCATCCAACACCGCACGAAGATGGGAAGCGCAACTGCTGCTGGGTCTTGATGCGGTGCTTAGGTCATGCAATAACACCATTCAATTGAGTCATCAGCTGTGCCGAAATGACAGCTCCAGTTCGTGTCCCGCACGTTGTTCACTCGTTGCCCATGTCTGGTTGCATGTCTGGTTGCATGTCTGTGCTTGCATCCAACACCGCACGAAGATGGGAAGCGCAACTGCTGCTGGGTCTTGATGCGGTGCTTAGGTCATGCAATCACACCTCTCATATGAGTCATCAGCTGTGCCGAAATGACAGCTCCAGTTCGTGTCCCGCACGTTGTTCACTCGTTGCCCATGTCTGGTTGCATGTCTGGTTGCATGTCTGTGCTTGCGTTCAACACCGCACGAAGATGGGAAGCGCAACTGCTGCTGGGTCTTGATGCGGTGCTTAGGTCATGCAATAACATCATTCAACTGAGTCACCAGATGTGCCGAAATGACAGCTCCAGTTCGTGTCCCGCACGTTGTTCACTCGTTGCCCATGTCTGGTTGCATGTCTGGTTGCATGTCTGTGCTTGCATCCAACACCGCACGAAGATGGGAAGCGCAACTGCTGCTGGGTCTTGATGCGGTGCTTAGGTCATGCAATAACACCATTCAATTGAGTCATCAGCTGTGCCGAAATGACAGCTCCAGTTCGTGTCCCGCACGTTGTTCACTCGTTGCCCATGTCTGGTTGCATGTCTGGTTGCATGTCTGTGCTTGCATCCAACACCGCACGAAGATGGGAAGCGCAACTGCTGCTGGGTCTTGATGCGGTGCTTAGGTTATGCAATAACACCATTCAATTGAGTCGGAATCATCAGCTGTGCCGAAATGACAGCTCCAGTTCGTGTCCTACACGTTGTTCACTCGTTGCCCATGTCTGGTTGCATGTCTGGTTGCATGTCTGTGCTTGCGTTCAACACCGCACGAAGATGGGAAGCGCAACTGCTGCTGGCTCTTGATGCGGTGCTTAGGTTATGCTATAACGCCATTCAATTGAGTCGGAATCATCATCTGTGCCGAAATGACAGCTCCAGTTCGTGTCCTACACGTTGTTCACTCGTTGCCCATGTCTGGTTGCATGTCTGGTTGCATGTCTGTGCTTGCATCCAACACCGCACGAAGATGGGAAGCGCAACTGCTGCTGGGTCTTGATGCGGTGCTTAGGTCATGCAATAACACCATTCAATTGAGTCATCAGCTGTGCCGAAATGACAGCTCCAGTTCGTGTCCTACACGTTGTTCACTCGTTGCCCATGTCTGGTTGCATGTCTGGTTGCATGTCTGTGCTTGCATCCAACACCGCACGAAGATGGGAAGCGCAACTGCTGCTGGGTCTTGATGCGGTGCTTAGGTCATGCAATAACACCATTCAATTGAGTCGGAATCATCAGCTGTGCCGAAATGACAGCTCCAGTTCGTGTCCTACACGTTGTTCACTCGTTGCCCATGTCTGGTTGCATGTCTGGTTGCATGTCTGTGCTTGCATCCAACACCGCACGAAGATGGGAAGCGCAACTGCTGCTGGCTCTTGATGCGGTGCTTAGGTTATGCTATAACGCCATTCAATTGAGTCGGAATCATCATCTGTGCCGAAATGACAGCTCCAGTTCGTGTCCTACACGTTGTTCACTCGTTGCCCATGTCTGGTTGCATGTCTGGTTGCATGTCTGTGCTTGCATCCAACACCGCACGAAGATGGGAAGCGCAACTGCTGCTGGGTCTTGATGCGGTGCTTAGGTCATGCAATAACACCATTCAATTGAGTCATCAGCTGTGCCGAAATGACAGCTCCAGTTCGTGTCCCGCACGTTGTTCACTCGTTGCCCATGTCTGGTTGCATGTCTGGTTGCATGTCTGTGCTTGCATCCAACACCGCACGAAGATGGGAAGCGCAACTGCTGCTGGGTCTTGATGCGGTGCTTAGGTCATGCAATAACACCATTCAATTGAGTCATCAGCTGTGCCGAAATGACAGCTCCAGTTCGTGTCCCGCACGTTGTTCACTCGTTGCCCATGTCTGGTTGCATGTCTGGTTGCATGTCTGTGCTTGCATCCAACACCGCACGAAGATGGGAAGCGCACCTGCTGCTGGGTCTTGATGCGGTGCTTAGGTCATGCAATAACACCTCTCATATGAGTCATCAGCTGTGCCTAAATGACAGCTCCAGTTCGTGTCCCGCACGTTGTTCACTCGTTGCCCATGTCTGGTTGCATGTCTGGTTGCATGTCTGTGCTTGCGTTCAACACCGCACGAAGATGGGAAGCGCAACTGCTGCTGGGTCTTGATGCGGTGCTTAGGTCATGCAATAACACGATTCAATTGAGTCATCAGCTGTGCCGAAATGACAGCTCCAGTTCGTGTCCCGCACGTTGTTCACTCGTTGCCCATGTCTGGTTGCATGTCTGGTTGCATGTCTGTGCTTGCATCCAACACCGCACGAAGATGGGAAGCGCAACTGCTGCTGGGTCTTGATGCGGTGCTTAGGTCATGCAATAACACCATTCAATTGAGTCATCAGCTGTGCCGAAATGACAGCTCCAGTTCGTGTACTACACGTTGTTCACTCGTTGCCCATGTCTGGTTGCATGTCTGGTTGCATGTCTGTGCTTGCATCCAACACCGCACGAAGATGGGAAGCGCAACTGCTGCTGGGTCTTGATGCGGTGCTTAGGTTCATGCAATAACACCATTCAATTGAGTCGGAATCATCAGCTGTGCCGAAATGACAGCTCCAGTTCGTGTCCTACACGTTGTTCACTCGTTGCCCATGTCTGGTTGCATGTCTGGTTGCATGTCTGTGCTTGCATCCAACACCGCACGAAGATGGGAAGCGCAACTGCTGCTGGGTCTTGATGCGGTGCTTAGGTCATGCAATAACACCATTCAATTGAGTCATCAGCTGTGCCGAAATGACAGCTCCAGTTCGTGTCGTACACGTTGTTCACTCGTTGCCCTCGGGCATGTCTGGTTGCATGTCTGTGCTTGCATCCAACACCGCACGAAGATGGGAAGCGCAACTGCTGCTGGGTCTTGATGCGGTGCTTAGGTCATGCAATAACACCATTCAATTGAGTCGGAATCATAGCTGTGCCGAAATGACAGCTCCAGTTCGTGTCACTACACGTTGTTCACTCGTTGCCCATGTCTGGTTGCATGTCTGGTTGATGTGTGCTTGCATCCAACACCGCACGAAGATGGGAAGCGCAACTGCTGCTGGGTCTTGATGCGGTGCTTAGGTCATGCAATAACACCATTCAATTGAGTCATCATCTGTGCCGAAATGACAGCTCCAGTTCGTGTCCCGCACGTTGTTCACTCGTTGCCCATGTCTGGTTGCATGTCTGGTTGCATGTCTGTGCTTGCATCCAACACCGCACGAAGATGGGAAGCGCAACTGCTGCTGGGTCTTGATGCGGTGCTTAGGTCATGCAATAACACCATTCAATTGAGTCATCAGCTGTGCCGAAATGACAGCTCCAGTTCGTGTCCCGCACGTTGTTCACTCGTTGCCCATGTCTGGTTGCATGTCTGGTTGCATGTCTGTGCTTGCATCCAACACCGCACGAAGATGGGAAGCGCAACTGCTGCTGGGTCTTGATGCGGTGCTTAGGTCATGCAATAACACCATTCAATTGAGTCGGAATCATCAGCTGTGCCGAAATGACAGCTCCAGTTCGTGTCCTACACGTTGTTCACTCGTTTCCCATGTCTGGTTGCATGTCTGGTTGCATGTCTGTGCTTGCATCCAACACCGCACGAAGATGGGAAGCGCAACTGCTGCTGGGTCTTGATGCGGTGCTTAGGTCATGCAATAACACCATTCAATTGAGTCATCAGCTGTGCCGAAATGACAGCTCCAATTCGTGTCCCGCACGTTGTTCACTCGTTGCCCATGTCTGGTTGCATGTCTGGTTGCATGTCTGGTTGCATGTCTGTGCTTGCATCCAACACCGCACGAAGATGGGAAGCTCAACTGCTGCTGGGTCTTGATGCGGTGCTTAGGTCATGCAATAACACCATTCAATTGAGTTGGAATCATCAGCTGCGCCGATATGACAGCTCCAGTTCGTGTCCCGCACGTTGTTCACTCGTTGCCCATGTCTGGTTGCATGTCTGGTTGCATGTCTGTGCTTGCATCCAACACCGCACGAAGATGGGAAGCGCAACTGCTGCTGGGTCTTGATGCGGTGCTTAGGTCATGCAATAACACCATTCAATTGAGTCATCAGCTGTGCCGAAATGACAGCTCCAGTTCGTGTCCCGCACGTTGTTCACTCGTTGCCCATGTCTGGTTGCATGTCTGGTTGCATGTCTGTGCTTGCATCCAACACCGCACGAAGATGGGAAGCGCAACTGCTGCTGGGTCTTGATGCGGTGCTTAGGTCATGCAATAACACCATTCAATTGAGTCATCAGCTGTGCCGAAATGACAGCTCCAGTTCGTGTCCCGCACGTTGTTCACTCGTTGCCCATGTCTGGTTGCATGTCTGGTTGCATGTCTGTGCTTGCATCCAACACCGCACGAAGATGGGAAGCGCAACTGCTGCTGGGTCTTGATGCGGTGCTTAGGTCATGCAATAACACCATTCAATTGAGTCATCAGCTGTGCCGAAATGACAGCTCCAGTTCGTGTCCCGCACGTTGTTCACTCGTTGCCCATGTCTGGTTGCATGTCTGGTTGCATGTCTGTGCTTGCATCCAACACCGCACGAAGATGGGAAGCGCAACTGCTGCTGGGTCTTGATGCGGTGCTTAGGTCATGCAATAACACCATTCAATTGAGTCGGAATCATCAGCTGTGCCGAAATGACAGCTCCAGTTCGTGTCCTACACGTTGTTCACTCGTTGCCCATGTCTGGTTGCATGTCTGGTTGCATGTCTGTGCTTGCATCCAACACCGCACGAAGATGGGAAGCGCAACTGCTGCTGGGTCTTGATGCGGTGCTTAGGTCATGCAATAACACCATTCAATTGAGTCGGAATCATCAGCTGTGCCGAAATGACAGCTCCAGTTCGTGTCCTACACGTTGTTCACTCGTTGCCCATGTCTGGTTGCATGTCTGGTTGCATGTCTGTGCTTGCATCCAACACCGCACGAAGATGGGAAGCGCAACTGCTGCTGGGTCTTGATGCGGTGCTTAGGTCATGCAATAACACCATTCAATTGAGTCATCAGCTGTGCCGAAATGACAGCTCCAGTTCGTGTCCTACACGTTGTTCACTCGTTGCCCATGTCTGGTTGCATGTCTGGTTGCATGTCTGTGCTTGCATCCAACACCGCACGAAGATGGGAAGCGCAACTGCTGCTGGGTCTTGATGCGGTGCTTAGGTCATGCAATAACACCATTCAATTGAGAATCATCAGCTGTGCCGAAATGACAGCTCCAGTTCGTGTCCTACACGTTGTTCACTCGTTGCCCATGTCTGGTTGCATGTCTGGTTGCATGTCTGTGCTTGCATCCAACACCGCACGAAGATGGGAAGCGCAACTGCTGCTGGGTCTTGATGCGGTGCTTAGGTCATGCAATAACACCATTCAATTGAGTCATCAGCTGTGCCGAAATGACAGCTCCAGTTCGTGTCCCGCACGTTGTTCACTCGTTGCCCATGTCTGGTTGCATGTCTGGTTGCATGTCTGTGCTTGCATCCAACACCGCACGAAGATGGGAAGCGCAACTGCTGCTGGGTCTTGATGCGGTGCTTAGGTCATGCAATAACACCATTCAATTGAGTCATCAGCTGTGCCGAAATGACAGCTCCAGTTCGTGTCCCGCACGTTGTTCACTCGTTGCCCATGTCTGGTTGCATGTCTGGTTGCATGTCTGTGCTTGCATCCAACACCGCACGAAGATGGGAAGCGCAACTGCTGCTGGGTCTTGATGCGGTGCTTAGGTCATGCAATAACACCATTCAATTGAGTCATCAGCTGTGCCGAAATGACAGCTCCAGTTCGTGTCCCGCACGTTGTTCACTCGTTGCCCATGTCTGGTTGCATGTCTGGTTGCATGTCTGTGCTTGCGTTCAACACCGCACGAAGATGGGAAGCGCAACTGCTGCTGGGTCTTGATGCGGTGCTTAGGTCATGCAATAACACCATTCAATTGAGTCATCAGCTGTGCCGAAATGACAGCTCCAGTTCGTGTCCCGCACGTTGTTCACTCGTTGCCCATGTCTGGTTGCATGTCTGGTTGCATGTCTGTGCTTGCATCCAACACCGCACGAAGATGGGAAGCGCAACTGCTGCTGGGTCTTGATGCGGTGCTTAGGTCATGCAATAACACCATTCAATTGAGTCATCAGCTGTGCCGAAATGACAGCTCCAGTTCGTGTCCCGCACGTTGTTCACTCGTTGCCCATGTCTGGTTGCATGTCTGGTTGCATGTCTGTGCTTGCATCCAACACCGCACGAAGATGGGAAGCGCAACTGCTGCTGGGTCTTGATGCGGTGCTTAGGTCATGCAATAACACCATTCAATTGAGGTCATCAGCTGTGCCGAAATGACAGCTCCAGTTCGTGTCCCGCACGTTGTTCACTCGTTGCCCATGTCTGGTTGCATGTCTGGTTGCATGTCTGTGCTTGCATCCAACACCGCACGAAGATGGGAAGCGCAACTGCTGCTGGGTCTTGATGCGGTGCTTAGGTCATGCAATAACACCATTCAATTGAGTCATCAGCTGTGCCGAAATGACAGCTCCAGTTCGTGTCCCGCACGTTGTTCACTCGTTGCCCATGTCTGGTTGCATGTCTGGTTGCATGTCTGTGCTTGCGTTCAACACCGCACGAAGATGGGAAGCGCAACTGCTGCTGGGTCTTGATGCGGTGCTTAGGTCATGCAATAACACCATTCAATTGAGTTGGAATCATCAGCTGTGCCGAAATGACAGCTCCAGTTCGTGTCCTACACGTTGTTCACTCGTTGCCCATGTCTGGTTGCATGTCTGGTTGCATGTCTGTGCTTGCATCCAACACCGCACGAAGATGGGAAGCGCAACTGCTGCTGGGTCTTGATGCGGTGCTTAGGTCATGCAATAACACCATTCAATTGAGTCGGAGTCATCAGCTGTGCCGAAATGACAGCTCCAGTTCGTGTCCCGCACGTTGTTCACTCGTTGCCCATGTCTGGTTGCATGTCTGGTTGCATGTCTGTGCTTGCATCCAACACCGCACGAAGATGGGAAGCGCAACTGCTGCTGGGTCTTGATGCGGTGCTTAGGTCATGCAATAACACCATTCAATTGAGTCATCAGCTGTGCCGAAATGACAGCTCCAGTTCGTGTCCCGCACGTTGTTCACTCGTTGCCCATGTCTGGTTGCATGTCTGGTTGCATGTCTGTGCTTGCATCCAACACCGCACGAAGATGGGAAGCGCAACTGCTGCTGGCTCTTGATGCGGTGCTTAGGTCATGCAATAACACCATTCAATTGAGTCGGAATCATCAGCTGTGCCGAAATGACAGCTCCAGTTCGTGTCCTACACGTTGTTCACTCGTTGCCCATGTCTGGTTGCATGTCTGGTTGCATGTCTGTGCTTGCATCCAACACCGCACGAAGATGGGAAGCGCAACTGCTGCTGGGTCTTGATGCGGTGCTTAGGTCATGCAATAACACCATTCAATTGAGTCATCAGCTGTGCCGAAATGACAGCTCCAGTTCGTGTCCTACACGTTGTTCACTCGTTGCCCATGTCTGGTTGCATGTCTGGTTGCATGTCTGTGCTTGCATCCAACACCGCACGAAGATGGGAAGCGCAACTGCTGCTGGGTCTTGATGCGGTGCTTAGGTCATGCAATAACACCATTCAATTGAGTCGGAATCATCAGCTGTGCCGAAATGACAGCTCCAGTTCGTGTCCTACACGTTGTTCACTCGTTGCCCATGTCTGGTTGCATGTCTGGTTGCATGTCTGTGCTTGCATCCAACACCGCACGAAGATGGGAAGCGCAACTGCTGCTGGGTCTTGATGCGGTGCTTAGGTCATGCAATAACACCATTCAATTGAGTCGGAATCATCAGCTGTGCCGAAATGACAGCTCCAGTTCGTGTCCTACACGTTGTTCACTCGTTGCCCATGTCTGGTTGCATGTCTGGTTGCATGTCTGTGCTTGCATCCAACACCGCACGAAGATGGGAAGCGCAACTGCTGCTGGGTCTTGATGCGGTGCTTAGGTCATGCAATAACACCATTCAATTGAGTGATCATCAGCTGTGCCGAAATGACAGCTCCAGTTCGTGTCCTACACGTTGTTCACTCGTTGCCCATGTCTGGTTGCATGTCTGGTTGCATGTCTGTGCTTGCATCCAACACCGCACGAAGATGGGAAGCGCAACTGCTGCTGGGTCTTGATGCGGTGCTTAGGTCATGCAATAACACCATTCAATTGAGTTGGAATCATCAGCTGCGCCGATATGACAGCTCCAGTTCGTGTCCTACACGTTGTTCACTCGTTGCCCATGTCTGGTTGCATGTCTGGTTGCATGTCTGTGCTTGCGTTCAACACCGCACGAAGATGGGAAGCGCAACTGCTGCTGGGTCTTGATGCGGTGCTTAGGTCATGCAATAACACCTCGTGATGAGTCGGAATCATCAGCTGTGCCGAAATGACAGCTCCAGTTCGTGTCCCGCACGTTGTTCACTCGTTGCCCATGTCTGGTTGCATGTCTGGTTGCATGTCTGTGCTTGCATCCAACACCGCACGAAGATGGGAAGCGCAACTGCTGCTGGGTCTTGATGCGGTGCTTAGGTCATGCAATAACACCATTCAATTGAGTCATCAGCTGTGCCGAAATGACAGCTCCAGTTCGTGTCCCGCACGTTGTTCACTCGTTGCCCATGTCTGGTTGCATGTCTGGTTGCATGTCTGTGCTTGCGTTCAACACCGCACGAAGATGGGAAGCGCAACTGCTGCTGGCTCTTGATGCGGTGCTTAGGTCATGCAATAACACCATTCAATTGAGTCGGAATCATCATCTGTGCCGAAATGACAGCTCCAGTTCGTGTCCTACACGTTGTTCACTCGTTGCCCATGTCTGGTTGCATGTCTGGTTGCATGTCTGTGCTTGCATCCAACACCGCACGAAGATGGGAAGCGCAACTGCTGCTGGGTCTTGATGCGGTGCTTAGGTCATGCACTAACACCATTCAATTGAGTCATCAGCTGTGCCGAAATGACAGCTCCAGTTCGTGTCCTACACGTTGTTCACTCGTTGTCCATGACTGGTTGCATGTCTGGTTGCATGTCTGTGCTTGCATCCAACACCGCACGAAGATGGGAAGCGCAACTGCTGCTGGGTCTTGATGCGGTGCTTAGGTCATGCAATAACACCATTCAATTGAGTCGGAATCATCAGCTGTGCCGAAATGACAGCTCCAGTTCGTGTCCTACACGTTGTTCACTCGTTGCCCATGTCTGGTTGCATGTCTGGTTGCATGTCTGTGCTTGCATTCAACACCGCACGAAGATGGGAAGCGCAACTGCTGCTGGCTCTTGATGCGGTGCTTAGGTCATGCAATAACGCCATTCAATTGAGTCGGAATCATCATCTGTGCCGAAATGACAGCTCCAGTTCGTGTCCTACACGTTGTTCACTCGTTGCCCATGTCTGGTTGCATGTCTGGTTGCATGTCTGTGCTTGCGTTCAACACCGCACGAAGATGGGAAGCGCAACTGCTGCTGGCTCTTGATGCGGTGCTTAGGTTATGCTATAACGCCATTCAATTGAGTCGGAATCATCATCTGTGCCGAAATGACAGCTCCAGTTCGTGTCCTACACGTTGTTCACTCGTTGTCCATGACTGGTTGCATGTCTGGTTGCATGTCTGTGCTTGCATCCAACACCGCACGAAGATGGGAAGCGCAACTGCTGCTGGGTCTTGATGCGGTGCTTAGGTCATGCAATAACACCATTCAATTGAGTCATCAGCTGTGCCAAAATGACAGCTCCAGTTCGTGTCGTACACGTTGTTCACTCGTTGCCCATGTCTGGTTGCATGTCTGTGCTTGCATCCAACACCGCACGAAGATGGGAAGCGCAACTGCTGCTGGGTCTTGATGCGGTGCTTAGGTCATGCAATAACACCATTCAATTGAGTCGGAATCATTATCCGTGCCAAATGACAGCTCCAGTTCGTGCACTACACGTTGTTCACTCGTTGCCCATGTCTGGTTGCATGTCTATGCTTGCAGCCAACACCGCACGAAGATGGGAAGCGCAACTGCTGCTGGGTCTTGATGCGGTGCTTAGGTCATGCAATAACACGATTCAATTGAGTCATCATCTGTGCCGAAATGACAGCTCCAGTTCGTGTCCCGCACGTTGTTCACTCGTTGCCCATGTCTGGTTGCATGTCTGGTTGCATGTCTGTGCTTGCATCCAACACCGCACGAAGATGGGAAGCGCAACTGCTGCTGGGTCTTGATGCGGTGCTTAGGTCATGCAATAACACCATTCAATTGAGTCATCAGCTGTGCCGAAATGACAGCTCCAGTTCGTGTACTACACGTTGTTCACTCGTTTCCTATGTCTGGTTGCATGTCTGGTTGCATGTCTGTGCTTGCATCCAACACCGCACGAAGATGGGAAGCGCAACTGCTGCTGGGTCTTGATGCGGTGCTTAGGTCATGCAATCACACCATTCAATTGAGTCATCAGCTGTGCCGAAATGACAGCTCCAGTTCGTGTCCCGCACGTTGTTCACTCGTTGCCCATGTCTGGTTGCATGTCTGGTTGCATGTCTGTGCTTGCATCCAACACCGCACGAAGATGGGAAGCGCAACTGCTGCTGGGTCTTGATGCGGTGCTTAGGTCATGCAATAACACCATTCAATTGAGTCATCAGCTGTGCCGAAATGACAGCTCCAGTTCGTGTCCCGCACGTTGTTCACTCGTTGCCCATGTCTGGTTGCATGTCTGGTTGCATGTCTGTGCTTGCATCCAACACCGCACGAAGATGGGAAGCGCAACTGCTGCTGGGTCTTGATGCGGTGCTTAGGTCATGCAATAACACCATTCAATTGAGTCATCAGCTGTGCCGAAATGACAGCTCCAGTTCGTGTCCCGCACGTTGTTCACTCGTTGCCCATGTCTGGTTGCATGTCTGGTTGCATGTCTGGTTGCATGTCTGTGCTTGCATCCAACACCGCACGAAGATGGGAAGCTCAACTGCTGCTGGGTCTTGATGCGGTGCTTAGGTCATGCAATAACACGATTCAATTGAGTCATCAGCTGTGCCGAAATGACAGCTCCAGTTCGTGTCCCGCACGTTGTTCACTCGTTGCCCATGTCTGGTTGCATGTCTGGTTGCATGTCTGTGCTTGCATCCAACACCGCACGAAGATGGGAAGCGCAACTGCTGCTGGGTCTTGATGCGGTGCTTAGGTCATGCAATCACACCTCTCATATGAGTCATCAGCTGTGCCGAAATGACAGCTCCAGTTCGTGTCCCGCACGTTGTTCACTCGTTGCCCATGTCTGGTTGCATGTCTGGTTGCATGTCTGTGCTTGCGTTCAACACCGCACGAAGATGGGAAGCGCAACTGCTGCTGGGTCTTGATGCGGTGCTTAGGTCATGCAATAACGATTCATTTGAGTCATCAGCTGTGCCGAAATGACAGCTCCAGTTCGTGTCCCGCACGTTGTTCACTCGTTGCCCATGTCTGGTTGCATGTCTGGTTGCATGTCTGGTTGCATGTCTGTGCTTGCATCCAACACCGCACGAAGATGGGAAGCGCAACTGCTGCTGGGTCTTGATGCGGTGCTTAGGTCATGCAATAACACCATTCAATTGAGTCATCAGCTGTGCCGAAATGACAGCTCCAGTTCGTGTCCCGCACGTTGTTCACTCGTTGCCCATGTCTGGTTGCATGTCTGGTTGCATGTCTGTGCTTGCATCCAACACCGCACGAAGATGGGAAGCGCAACTGCTGCTGGGTCTTGATGCGGTGCTTAGGTCATGCAATAACACGATTCAATTGAGTCATCAGCTGTGCCGAAATGACAGCTCCAGTTCGTGTCCTACACGTTGTTCACTCGTTGCCCATGTCTGGTTGCATGTCTGGTTGCATGTCTGTGCTTGCGTTCAACACCGCACGAAGATGGGAAGCGCAACTGCTGCTGGCTCTTGATGCGGTGCTTAGGTCATGCAATAACGCCATTCAATTGAGTCGGAATCTCATCTGTGCCGAAATGACAGCTCCAGTTCGTGTCCCGCACGTTGTTCACTCGTTGCCCATGTCTGGTTGCATGTCTGGTTACATGTCTGTGCTTGCATCCAACACCGCACGAAGATGGGAAGCGCAACTGCTGCTGGGTCTTGATGCAGTGCTTAGGTCATGCAATAACAC